ATATCTCGGCACCAAACATCTCCCCCCTCCCACACTGATAATGATACAAAAACAAGAACGAGAACAAAACGTCGAATTTCCTCTTGATACAGCCAAGACAATGTCCGTGTCTGCTGATATTCCCATCATAGACCTCTCGGGCCCCCAGGACGATGTAGCCCGTCAGCTCGTCGACGCCGCGGAGAAGCACGGTTTCATCTACATCAGGAACCTGGGCAAGGACATTGGGCCGGACGCCATTGACGAGGCTTTTGAGCTGGTATTCAGCCCTCACTCTTTCAATGTTGATGTTCAACCCCTCCCCTAGACTCACACACACTTGTATACATATATAGTCAGAAAAGATCTTTGATTCCCCCCTCGAGGAAAAGCAGAGATGCACCATCCAGACCAACAACCGCGGGTGGTCAGCCATGCACTCGGAGACGTTGGATCCCAGCAGCCAAAAGGTCGGCGACTATAAAGAGTAAGACTGTCCATCTTCCTTCATCTTGCCACCGGCGCACACGAACGAGACAGACATACCAACCCCTCTGCCTAGGGCCTTCAACTTTGGCGAGTTCATCGACGGCAAAGCCCAGCAGCCCCTCCCGTCACCCGTCGCGCCCTACGAGCCACGCTTCAACCTATTCTCCGACCTATGTCACGATCTCTCGCGCAGGATCCTCCATCTTCTGGGTCTAGGCCTAGGTGTAAGCTCTTCCCTTCTTCTCTGCTCCCCTAAAAGGATCCTCACCGACCACGTCAAGCAGATCGACGACTTCTTCTCCTCAGCACACCAGACCTCCAGCGGCGCATCCAGCTCCATCCTCCGCTTCCTTCGGTACCCACCCACCACGTCGACGTCTCACTCGCCCGGCGACGTACGCGCAGGCGCCCACTCGGACTACGGATCCATAACGCTGCTCTTCCGCCTCCGGGGCCAGGCAGGGCTCGAGATCCTCAAGGGTGACAACATCACCTGGGCCCCCGTGCCCGTGTCGCCTCCGGGGACGGAGAACGACCCTTCCCCCCCTATCCTCGTCAATATTGGCGATCTGCTCTCCTACTGGACAAACGGGCTCTTCAGGAGCACCGTGCACCGCGTCGTCTTCGATCAGGACTCGGCTGCCGTGGCCGGCGACGCCGTGGCCTCCACGCCCAGGTACTCCATTGCCTTCTTCTGCCACCCCGCTGGGTCTACGACGCTCGGGACCGTCCCCAGCGAGCGTGTGAGGAGCTTCAACCCCGCTGAGGGGACGGCGAGTGCCAACCCTTATGCTGAGAGGAAGGTCTTGACGGCCGATGAGCACCTGCACATGAGGCTCAAGGCTAGCTATGGTGCGCTGTATGACGACGACAAGTCGTGATGAGGTCTTTTGAACAAACAGAAGGAAATCTTCCTCAAGCTGCCAGTGCTTAATGATATGTACAGGAGAATGTCATGAGTGGAAACCATCAGATCCCTATATCAACCCACAGTACCATCTTCTCCAGGGGTCCTTGAACCCTTCGTAGTACTTTCTTGTCACCGTCTCGTCCTCCAGGGTGGTGATATTCTTCAGCACCCTCCAATCGTAGACAGATATATAATGACCACCATCTGCTGTCGAGGTTGTCTTTCGACTAGCAGTGTTCATCATGCGCCGTATCAGAGCTTCCGTCTCAGCTGCGTGCTTGACACTATCCACCAGCAGGAGCGCCGAGCCCTCTGCAGTCCATGAGCCATCCTCCAGTTCGGCGAATCTGCTCTCGACGCCATGCAACCCGAGCAGATCCGCCATCTCTGAAGGCGCCGTGCCCAGGTGAGGGGCCAAGAAAACTGACGTCTTGGCAAACTGGCAGTTCGCGCCGGCGTGGGCGCAGCTTCTCCTAGGTGAGTCTGAAGACGTTGATAGTGGCGCGCTGCTGCATATCTCGACCGAACTGACTGGCAGGAACACGCTGATATCTTCGCTCTCCAGCGATGAGCAAGAAACAGTCGGCTCCGGCTCTGTTGCCGTTGTGACCAGTCTCCCAGAAAATTTATCCTGTGTCTGGATTGCGAGTTCCCTTGACACGTCTCTTTTTGGACGAGGTTCTGTAGGACCCTGTGATGAGTTGGCTGTTGCATCGGCTAGAGGGGCGCGCATCACCGGGCCGGGTAGCTGGTTTTGGCTGTCTCTATGTCTTTTTCGGACCTGTGGCGGCGATAGCACTGGCCGTTCCCGCTTCCGTGGCTGGTCTGTACTGATGACCAGCAGCTCTGAGGCGGAAGAGGACGAGACGAGACACTGAGACGAGACACTAGGTTCGATTTGTGGTCGTTGCCATCTATGCGCCGGCTGGGCAGAGTTCGAGTCTGACTCGCCATCTGCCGACTGTGACAGCCTGCTGGATGAAAGGCTGCGCGTCGCTGTCATCTCCCGATTTCGCGGCGACGGGGACGGGACTGTCGTGGCGGTGCTGGCCGTCTGGCTGCGGGCATCGACAGCAAAACCCCGCGCATCTGCGCCTTCCAATTTGGCTACCCACTGGAGATTCTGTTGGCTGTCTGGATGTTCTGGGGCCGTGGTAGCGAACTCTGCTAACTCCTGCAGCTGCCCAAACGGGATGGTGTCGATGACATCGCGGTCAAAGTGCACCTTCGACACGGCAGGGAAGCGCAGGGTCCAGAAGCCGACGTTGCCGGGCTTGTCGAAGCTGAAGCAGCGCATGTCAAACACCAAGGGATTTGCAAAAACGACCGTCATCCGGTGGTTGGTCTCGATGGCGGGGACAATGGTGAGCTTGATGGAGGTGCTGGAGCTGAGGTCGTCTCGCGCCATGGGCATGGGGTTGCCGAATTGCATGACCGACTTCAACTGCATCTCATTAAGTTCGACGACATTGGTGACGGTAAAGTCCTGTATGGCCCCCCACTGCTGGACCTCTTGCTTGTTATTCAGACAACCGATGTAGAAGTGTGTCCATTTCAGGTTGGGAACCTTGTACTGCTTGGCCGTGGTGGCATCGTATCCCGCTCCGACGGCGGCCAGGTCGCCGACTTCGCCGAAACTGCCAATGTACTCCTTCTTGATCTTGATGCAGCGTCCAGATCGCGGCGGATCAAGCTGTGTCAGGTCAAAGTATGGGTCGTCGGGTTTCAGCACCAGACCCTCCCCGCGGCTGACAATGACCTTGGCGAACGCTTTGCGTAGAGTTGACGCAGCGAGGCCGTGATCGAAATCGATGATCTCGCGTTGCACCACCTCGGCCCAGCCTGGCTCTGTTCGCACGAGACCAGCGAGTGCCTTGCACCGTTCTGAGTGACGGACGCCCAGGAATGACACGTCGTCGACAAGAAGAACATCAAAGTATATAATCACGAGGTGCTCATGCGGTCGGGGTCTGCAGACTAATGTCAGCCGTACCACGATCAAATGAGAACAGAAAACTTACGGCGAGTCCTCCGCCGTGTTTAGAAACATTCCTCTGCGAGTGACGTGATTTCGGATCTTGTGAAAAGGAAGGATTTTGCGTTCCTGATGGGTTGTCAGCGTCTGAATTACCCCCCCGGTCCACGCCGGCTGGCAAGCGTCATACCGAATCACTGTAGACGGCCAACTCGCCTTCAACAATGCAGGTCTTGGAAATGCGGCAGTCAGGTTGTCCGAGCCTGAGCGACTCTTTGATCGTTCTATACTTGGATCAGTATTTGATTCAGCGAAAGGCGAAAAGGGCAATGCTCACCTATGAAGCCTCCTTCGGTCCTCGGTGCTGTCCTTGCCACTCTTGGAAAATATCTGAACACAGTCGTCACCCTTGCTTAGGTCGACATGTATCTGGCAATACTCCCCGTCCACCTTTTGCTCGACACTCATCCGGCCCTCGCCCAGAGCGAGACAGTGCTTGATACTGCGGGCCTGCGTCCAATGCTGCCGACCGACCTTGATGCCGACCCGGGGCATCACCCCGGGAAGAAGCTTCTTCCATGCTGTCGTTGCACCCGCGCCACCATCGGCTGCCGTTGTTGACAGGAGGAGTCTCGATCGGATATCCTGGGCCACGGCTACAGCTGATGTGAAGTCCTGGCGAATCCTCAGCAGCATGGGAAGGCTAGGGTCGCAGGACCGCAGGATGAGGTTCTCATCGAATACGAGCGGGGCATACGACTTGAGGACCAGGCGCGTGAGCCACTTGGCCTCCCTAGCAGTGAGGCGCCGGTACATGGACTCGAGGTCGCCGCGGTCGCGCTGGGCGAGGGGCGTCTTGGAGGCGCGGATGGCGGGCGAGCTCCACTTGATGCGACAGGCCAGGCCATGGAGGAGCTGGTCGACTTCCTCGACTGTGACTCTGCTGTCAATGTGGAGCTGGTTCGGCTGGAGTAAGCTGTCGTGTCAGCAGCTCTCGACAACAAGAACCGAGGGCAAGGGGAGATTCCGATGACGGACGCACGGTAATGGAGAGGATGCCCTCGACACAATCAGCCAAATCGACGCCACTGCCCGGTTCTCTGTGGCGTGAGATCTCCTTCTTCCTAGAGGCTCCGAGACCCAGACCACGGCCTACGATGAGTTCCAGAGCAGGTGTCTGTATACTGTACATGCGATCCGGACGCTTTCCGGGCAGCAGGGTGGACAGCAAGGCTGCCAGGTCGGTATCATGGGCGGCTACCCGCGTCGCATTGCGCGCGAACCAGCCCTCGACGACGGTATAGTTTGGTTTCCGAGCGACACCGAGTCTGTAGGACTCTTCTAGAAGCTCGCATACGATATCGAAAGGAAATGGCATGGCAGTGAGATGCGGGGGGGTCCGGTCCTCATCGTTAGCCGTGAGACCGTTTCGATCTCGAGGCTCAGGGTCGGGAGGATGGTTTTCGCGATGGATCCTATTGCATGCTACTGAATCGCAGGAGAGATAGCATCTAGGACAGCTGTACTTTAAAGGATCCTTCTTCAGACAAGCATCGCCTGCACCTGAAGCTCGCCGTGGCTGTTGCTAAGACCTCCTTGTCATTTCCCTGACTGGTGTCTTGAGCTTCTGTGTTTTCTTTGGCAGGCGCGTCGACCTTCTTATTTCCCCTCCTATTCTTTTCGTTTCAAACCAGCATTATAGAGACCAGAAGAAGCGTTGATTGTGGCACCCGCATACAGGAAGAGAGTTCTGTTTCAGGAGCATGACGCCGATGAATTCGGGATCGGGACGAAGTTACCGCCTGGTAAGTCGGGATTAATCATTAGCTGCGACATTGGCCGCATCACCGACGCGTGGGATTGTACTCGCAGGCGCCCTAGACAAACGCGTTGGGGTCGGGAAATCACGTGAGAGTGAGAGGGGATGAATGTGATAGATCACGTGAATGTATAGTTTCGATTGTTTCGAGATTTTTGGGGTTGGGAGGGGGGGGCGGCATGGACTCTGGACTCCGGAGAGAAGGAAAGAGGGGGGCAAACTAAAATTGGCTTTCCGATCAGGGGATCCACTCAGTCATTGAGGTACGAGTTCAATAAAGGGGCAGTGCGTGCGCGGGGGAGGCGGACAGGCGGTGAGGGTCAATTGAGATGGTTGAGCTGGGTGAATTGGGTGAATTGGGTGAATTGGGTGGATTGAGTTGGTCGAGTCGGTCGAGTTGAGTGGGTGAACACTGACTTGGGTGAGCTGAGTTGGCAAAAAAGGATGAGGAGAGAGACGGAGGAGACAGAGAGAAGAAACATGCTGAAGCAGACGATATCACGCTCGTTCACATCAACTCGTATCTGTTGGCAATCACGGGCGCTGGGTTCAACTCGGACACTCGGTAAATGGAAATATCAACCATGATCAGGTTATTACCAGCTGTACGAGTACAGGTAGCCCGCAGATGATACAGATTACTCTGTATCTGTACGAGTCCATGATAGTACGAGCGCCTGAACAATCTAATATTAGCGGTTCCCCTGGGCGACGGCGCCGTCGACGGGCCAGATCCACCGGTTGTCCCGGTCGATGTCCCTAGACCCGGACGGAGAAGTGAGTTTCGAGCTGCATGGCCAGCAAAGAGATGAAAGTAAACAAAGGAACCATGACGAGCGAGAGAGAGAGAGAGAGATAGATACATGTACTCCGTACAAGCAGAGTATAAGAGTGTGTGTATCAGAGTGAGTACGTTTTGACGGGTTGAAGGACGGTCCATGGATGACCTACTCGTACAGGCTACAGGGCTATCACAGCAGTACTCGTACCTATAGACCAATGCGTGTTGTGGTGGATGCTGCTTTTCAAGCCATCGCTCCGTAGTGATAGCCACCAACGGGCCCCCATTAACGCCCGAGACAATGATCGTTGTGAAGCTCGATGAGATGATGCCATGACGACGGGCACGAGAAGCTCCCACATTGTATCATTTTCCTTTCTCTTCTTACCCGCCTCCCTCCTTTCCCTTTCTTTCCCTCCTTTCCTTCTTCTGAACATTCCTCTTCTCCTTCTCTTCTTTGCGTATCAACTTGGCCATAACACACAATCATAGCATTGAACGCGGACATACGTGATCCAATTATACTCTTCTGAATTAATATACCGTCAGAACGCATTGTCATCATTTCATTGTTTTTATTTCATCTTATTTGACAAGAGACACACAAACGGAACGGATACACCCCCCCCCCAGGACCTTGGAGGGACCAGGAAGACCCCACACATCCTCCAATAACACGACGAATCCCCTGAAATCACCACAAGGACTGCATCGGTACCAAACCCCAGGCGCTCTCAATCCCTCGCCCTCTCGCTCTCCTGCCTCCTTCACCCTTCATTATTGCAATCGGAGGCTTTCTCATTACGCTGCTTGCCTACGATGAGCAGCTGTTGAGACAGGCACCCTTGCTCTGATATTACTCCTATTATCACGACCCTTCATCACCTCCCCTGTCTCTCACTCTCTCTTTTTATTCCTTCTCATTCTCCCTCTCTCTTCCACACTCTTTTTCTACAATCTCTCCATGAGCACTCTCCTCTTCAACATTTGCGTCGTCGACCGTTGCTCGTCCACTCTCTTTAATGAATACCGACACCACCTGACCGAAGTCCGACACCGAGCCCTCATTTCCAGAGCCGCCTCCGTTACAAGCGCCCGTCTGCGGCGCCGTCGAGCAGACAAGGTCGCTCCCGTCACTCCTTTGCAGAGGCGCCGTCGCCGTGTCCCCGCCGGCTTCCACTCGTTACATAGACTCCTTCAGCGTCGCCTCGACATGATGACCCCCACTCACGAGATCCGTCGCCGCTCCTCGGGGGGCGACCGAAACCCCATCAACAGCAACAGCAACAACACGGCCGCCTCCCCCGCACCTTATGCTTCCGCACCCGACGTCCATAGCCGTCATCTCTCCAATGAGTCTGCCGGGGCAGCCACAGCAGCCGTGCCCCCTCCGACAGCTGGCGATGCTGCTGCTCCCCCTCCCTCTTCACCCATGCGTCGCACCCACTCGCGTTCCACATCGACCGCCTCACGCCAGGCGAACCGCCTCTCTCTTACGCTTCCCATAGCTCCTCCCTCGGGGGACCCCTCCAGGCCCACGCCCACGCCTACTTCTCACTCTTCGTTTCCCCCTATGGTGGTCGACGCCTCGGCCATGGCCGGTGGCTCATCCGTCGCCTCGGCCGCTGACCCCAGCGATTTCATAATAGCAATCGCTGCTCAGGAGCGGCGCGTCCTGGAACTGCGTGAGGAGCTCGACCGCGCCGAGAAGGAGCTGTCGGTCCTCAAGAAACGCTGGTCCTCGAAAGAGGTTTACAGCCGACGCGGATCGTCAGCCCGCCACCAACACCACCACCACGCCACCGCCCCTCCCACGCCTACTACCACTAGCGATGCTAGCGAGGCCGGAGTTCACACGCCCAAGCACAGCGTCGAGTTCGACCGCAAGAAGCTCCTCCGCCAGCAGCAGGAGATGACGGCATCGGCGTCGGGCACGCCCAACCGCCGCAGGGTGATCCGCGGCGGGCACACGCGCACCCTGTCGCTCCTGTCGCCAACCAAGCCTGACTCTCCGGGCTTCCCCGCCCCCGACGACGACAGCGGGCTGCCCCTCCCGCCCGTGGAGCGCCGCGCCGCCCAGCTGACCAACCCCAACCTGGCCAAGCGGGCGTCCTGGCAGCCCCAGCACAGCCGCCGCCAGTCAAGCGTCACCTCCCCTGGCATCGTCGAGGACTTTAGGCTGGGCCTCCGATCTTTTGTCGAGGACCTCCGCCAGATCACCGTGGGCGACGAGCCCATCACAGGCCACGTGCAGGCGTCGTCGTCCAGCCTGCAGAGGAAGCTGCAGCAGCAGCTGTTCTCGCCCGCCGCCGCCGGCGACGACACCATCCGCGCCACCAACGGCCAGTCCGTCACCAGGCCCAAGGCCACGGCGGCCCTATACGACGCGCCCGCCTCCGTGTCGGCCTCCGGGACGTCGACGACCAGCGCCAAGGCAGCGGCCTCTGGTGCTTCCATCGAGAGACCCAAGCCCGCCGCGTCGTCGTCCAGGACGAAGCACTTCTCCTGGACGCCGCTCAGCTTCGACTCGCTAGACGACAGCGCCTGGACGAACTGGGAGTCCCCCGTGTCTGCCAAGTCGACGGCTCGGTGGAGCGGGTCCAGCATCAACAGTGCTGGAGGGGGGGACGACATCGAATCTATCCCCGAGGCTCGAGAGGAGACTGACGAATCATCACCGTAAGATTTTGTCCCCCTTTTTTTCCCTGCCATGTTTGCTCCACCCTATTCTTTTCTCTCTCCTTGTCGTTTCTGGAGTACTATCATACCCCCTGGGCCACATTGTTAGAAGATGAATGAGGGAAATGGAAAAGCAAAAAAAAAAAAAAAGAAGAAGGAAGGAAAGAAAGAGAGAAAGAACAGAAAGAAAGAAAATCTTGTCTAACTCATATTTTTTTTTGGTTGGAAATCTCCCCTATAAAAGAAGCAGCACAAAATCCATCTTCTCGACGTTTGCCGACGGCCCCGTTGCCCTCCCCCCCAAACTGGGCGAGATGCTCCCCAGCATGGTCAACCGTCTGTCCCCCACCAACATCAAGCGCACGGCCGACAACTTCATGAATGAGTGGGAGAGGTCGCTCGTGGACCCGGATCCTTCTGCGGACAAGGAGTCCGTGGTCAGCGATGCTGCCGATGACAACAACAACAACAACAAGGAGAATCAGCAACCGCTTCCAATCTGATCTCTGGGACTCACACTCTCCCTCTGTTCCGCCCAGGCGCCTCTTTTTCGTCCCTTTCCGCTGAACGCACGCAACGACTACACTGCATATCTGGCATTTCATGTTCTCTTTTCTTCTTCTTTTTTTCCCCCGGGCTTCCCTCATGGACTGTATCCGTTCTGTGCCCTTCTTCTTTATCGACCTCGCCTCACTGACTAGGCTTGGAAGGTTGAACCGCTCTCCTGGAGTCGGGGTTCTTTCTGCTGTGCATACATGCTTGTTCTGTATATGGCTTTCTTTCCTGCACTTTCTATCTTGCTGGCCATTCATGACCAGCTCTTCTGTCGGATTAACGATGAACGAAACAAAGGAAATGCAAGAAAACTTTCACTTATGAGCGACGACAGAGAATCGTGTCTTTATATAGTTATCTCTGAGTCTGCAAATAGACACTGAATTGGGTTTACCTGAGATCTGCCATCACTACAGAGGTAGGTAGGTAGTGTTGAGCTCTTCCATGCATCATCGTGCTCGTACGTCGTAATGCCGGCCATATTGCTATTGCTACCTGCACGCCTCGGCTACATCCCGCGGGGGTTGATCTGTAAGAGATCTGCGAGGGGAATCAATACGGAGAGTATCACAACCGTGCATCGCCATCTGAGCCTCAGAGTACCCGAGGGGCTGACGGCTGGGACCTGTACTATTGCAGAGTCGTGATGCTCCCTGCGGTTCCCCCTGGGCTCCCGTGACAAGGGGGGGGGGGGAGGAAGGAGAAGGAAAGGAACCCCCCAGATGCCAGTAATGATGATGAACAAGTGCTCCGTTCTGCATACATGTATGAGGAGGTCTGAGCAATTGCGTGCTCGGCTGCTAATTGCCGGAGGTTGGAGCAAGTAACGTAATGTATCCAATACTGCCTGTAATGATACTGCAAAGTACGAGTACATGTAGAGAGAGTCCAGCACTCGTATCTGGTATTACTCGGTATCTACTTGGTATCATTTGATGCACTGCATTGGCGGCAATATCGATAAACTCATTCAATGTCCGTCCCTCCTACTTGGCGGTACCGGGTACGAGAGTACTCCAACTTGATACGTCAGTGCCCAGCGTCATTAATTAGATGAAACCAGGGTTGGGAAGGAAAAGGAAGAAGAGACTGCGGGCTCCCTCCTCTCCTCATGTAATAATATTACTCGTAGAGGGAGGGCAGTGCAAGAGAGGTGAAAGGAGGATACCTATCCGGAACCGCGACAAATCTCCACTCTGGCCGCATTAATATCCGCCGTGCTCGTAACTTTTGGACAGTGTTTTGTATATTTTCTTTTTTCTTCTTCTTCTTTTCTTTCTTTCTTTCTTTCTTTCTACAGAGAACTCTTCGAATACGTCGTGTTTGGGCTTGGCGACTCTGAGATCTTTCTTGGCTGTTGATCGCTTGATGTGTGTTATGATGTATTAGTACTAATTTAGTCGTAGTAGCTGCCGGCAGCACCGTGTCACCAAGGAAACCTCGGAAGAAGAGAGAAGATGCAGGGCCGCGCGTCTAGCTTGGTGATGACTGGCGATATTTGGCGTATCGATCAATAGGCTCCGTGAGACATCACCAGACTACACATACACGTTAATCTGTAGAAGAGCTGCTGAAGTCGAGAGACCAGCGACGGCTCGGGAAAGGTGCGACCGTCCTCCGTTATTCACGGGTTACTCACTGCAATCTGTACATTAATATATATATATGTATATAAATGTTATATTGATACATGGGAGTAAGTACAGTCAATACATTCGAGTACGAGTACCTAGGGATGTTCATATACTCGTAAGTCTCATACGAGTGTCGAGTTCCGTAACGCCTAGAAACACAGCCACACACATGCACACACACACACACACACACACAATTTGCCAGCATCTCCACCGTATTGGCAGCCCAGACGACCGTTTATTGGTCAGGTGACGAGACACCGTCAGGCCACTAGACACACGCCGTCTAGCTGACCCCAGGTGCTACCCACCATGTTACGTCTGTACCTACATATACAGCGCAGCGGGCACGAGGCCACTGACACCACTACCACTCTGCCATGCTTCAGCGGCTATCTACCGGTATCAGCATCACTGCGAGTACCGCTACGCATGCATGTAGTGCCCTGAAAGACACCCGACACGCACATACACCCTTCATGGGACCCAGCCCTTTTTGGCAGACCCTGGCTGGTTTGTACGGTATTACCGTACTCCCCTGCGGCCCACGGCACGCGCACTCCAGTTGCGAGACTCCACGACGAACCGGGGGGTGAGAAAGGGGGGGGGCCGCCCAGCTTTCTGGCTCTGTGTCATCCTTGGAGAGAGAGAAAGAGAGAGAGAGAGAGAGAGCGAAGGGCATTGCGGATTGCGGGTACGGTGCCTGCATGCTCGTAGTGCCAATACGGTCCCGGTCCATATTACCTCGTACTCTCATACTTCTCCAACGTTCCCTGGCTTCTCCTTTTTTGGCGCGACGCGGGTCTCCTTCTCCTCTTCATCCTCCTCCCCTTCCTCTTCCCTCTCCATTCTCTCCATATCCACACTCCCGCCTTGCCTTGCGCCCCCCCCTGTCCACTTTTCATCTTTAGAGGAACAGAGACGAGTGCGAGAGGAAGAGAGCCTTGTGTTGTCCCTGTCTTGGGGTTTTCCTTTTTTTTTTTTTTCTTTTTTTTTTTTTGGTATCTTGCTTTGCTCTTTTCCTTCTCTCTTCATTCCGTCTACAACCACATGCTACCTGCAACCCACCTCCTCCTTCTCAGAATAGCCAACCTACACCCCTGCCGCTCGTTCTGACACACGACTGAAAATCCCGTTGTTACGGAGTACCCTCACTCTCGCTCGAAATCTCCCTCTCCTAACCGACTCCGCTCTTTCCCCCTCGAGAAGCGTGCGACCGTCGATCGACTCGACAGACTACAGACGACATTCTCTACGCTCTTTTACGCGCCTCCATCTTCCACTCTCCCTCGCTGGGAGTAGACAGCACTCTCAACTCCCGACAACGACACATACCATAGCAGTCTACCCCCCCCCCCGCGCGCTGGTCACCCCGACTGCCAGATACATCATGCTGTTGCGCAACTTTGCCGTCGGCCTCGGCCTGATGGCCCGTACTGCCCAGAGCATCGACGTGACGCTTGGCGATGAATGTCAGTCTCTCCTCCGGCCTCCCCCACCCTTCCGGTCTCTTGACCGAACCGCACTGGACTGTGCTTTCGAACAGAAGCCGCCTCTGTTGTTGCTGACAGTTCCATCCACCCAACAGCTTCCGTCAAGTCTGCCGCCAGCGAAGTGGCCTGGAACCTCTTGACCTTTTACTCGGGAAATAACACTGGTGATGTGCCCGGTAACTTGCCCTCGCCATACTACTGTGAGTAGATAGACCTCCCACCCTCTGGAAGAGCAGAGACGAGTCGAAGAACCAGAGGGCAAAACGTGCTGACATCCCCTCCCCCAGGGTGGCTATGCGGTGCCATGATGGGTACGTTGATAGAATACTGGCACTATACCGGCGACGAGTCATACAACGACCTTGTGCGACAAGCCATCGTGCACCAGGCAGGCGAGGAGAGGGACCTGATGCCTCAGAACCAGACGCGATCCATGGGTAACGATGACCAGGGCTTCTGGGGTCTGTCGGCCATGCTGGCCGCCGAGTACGTCTTCCCCGACCCCGCCGAGGATGAGCCGCAGTACCTCGAGCTGGCACAGGCCGTCTTCAACATGTTTGCGAGCCGATGGGACACGGTGCACTGTGGCGGTGGTCTGCGCTGGCAGGTCTTCGACTTCAACATCGGCTGGAACTACAAGAACTCGGTCTCCAACGGCTGCTTCTTCAACCTGGGCGCCCGCCTGGCCCGCTACACCGGCAACGACACCTATGCCGAGTGGGCCGAGAAGGTCTGGGAGTGGGAGACGAAGGTTGGCCTGATCGGCGAAGACTGGGCCCTGCACGACGGTGTCACCATCACGTCTAGCCAGACGTGCGGCGACGACATGGACTTGACCGAGTGGAGCTACAACTCCGGCATCTGGCTGCACGGCTCGGCCGTCATGCACAACTACACGGGCGCCGAGAAGTGGCAGACGCGCACCGCCGGCATCCTCGAGTACGGCCTCAAGAAGTTCTCCAAGGACAACGTCATCAACGAGCAGTACTGCGAGTCCCACAGCATCTGCGACAACGACCAGATCTCCTTCAAGGGCTACTACATCCGATGGCTCGCCGGCGTCAACATCCTCAACCCGGGCGTCTACACCGACAAGATCATGCCCCTCCTCAAGAGCACAGCCACGGCTGCCGCCAAGGCCTGCACCGGCAGCCCCACCGCCGTCCTCAACAACCTCCCGGCCTGGAAAGGCCACGCCGGCACCGCCTGCGGCTTCGCATGGGTCCCCTCTACCTACGACAACATGTACGGCGTGCCCGAGCAGATGAACGCCCTGTCCGCACTGTACTCCACCCTGGACGCCGCCCCTCCCAAGTCAGCCAAGACGGGAGGTACATCTACCGGTGACCCGGCTGCCGGTGGTGACGACGAAGCCAAGGCCCGCACCCTCGCACGCATCACCACCGGTGACCGCGTCGGCGCCGGCTTCCTCACCACTCTCATCCTTGCTGGATGTATCGGCGGTTGCACGTTCCTCATCACCTAGAGTCATTTCGTCTCCTGTTTTTTATATATATATATATCTCACCTGCCCTTTTTCTCGTTGTAGTTTTCCTTTTTTATATATCTCTGTCTACCTCATATAAAACAAACAACCCCCCCTCCCCACCACCATTTCCCCCCTCTCTCCCACCGTCTTGTCGTGTAGGAAAGAGAGAGTCGATCAAAAGGCAATAAAAGGGACTCTACTGGTTTGTGGGTTGAGAAGAAAAAAAAAAAGGAGGAGGGGGATTAAGAGAGGCGTTGGAAGGCGTGAAGAAACTTGGGGTTTTTTTTCTTGATTTCTTTCATTATTCTGTTCAAATTTCTGGGAAATAGCAACAGTGGTACGCCAACTTTTTTTTTTTGTCCAAAACATCAATGTGTCCATTCTTACTTGTGTGCAGTACTTTTTTGCCCTTGATCTTTTCATTAAGGATATCCCTCTTTCATTGTATATAAAATTAGTTTACACGAGGGATCTCGATCCCACAATCCCATAGCTTTTCTGCCGCCGTCCTTTGCTATCTACCACTCCTACTACCTGTCTCTACTAAATAAAAATCAATCGATAAAAGGAAAGAGAAGATTACCAAATAAAAAACAACAAGACGAGACAAAAAGGAAGAAGAGGGGGAGGGGRGGGGGGGGGGGGAAGGCAGCAGTTCTGATTTTGTACACACCGAGCTCGTCAGTTTCACCATGATGTGATTCCCGATATCAGGGGCCCTCGGCTCTATCTCAGCGCTAGAAGATGATTTATCTTCCCGACTGACCCCGCGTTTGGTCACCCCAGCCTCTGACTGGGTGGCACACGGGGGGTTCTTCTTGACGTCACTTGGGTGATGGGGTGATAAGAAGGGGGAGGATGAGGAGGCGGCCTTCGCGAGGTTCTGGTCAGTCTGCCTACTACCCGCCAAGGAACCCCGCTACGTGCGTCATACGACCCTGCACAGGGCATCGACGTCGAGTAGCAAGTATATTAGTCGTCTGGAGGGAATTGACAGGGGGGAGAGGGGGGGGGGGGGACTATATATCTTCCCCCATCTTGTCTATACTCCAAAAAGAGGAGGGAAGCTTCATACGCTCTCGGCTTTAGGAGCTCTGCTACAAAAACATACGAGAGGCGAGTTAACAGAAAAGAAGAGAAAAAAAAAAGAACAAAACAAGAGCGACACGATGTCAACCAAACACTTCATCAATGACCCGGCCAAGCTGGTCTCTTCTGCCCTAGAGAGTCTGAGCCTGGTCAACCCACACGTGGCATTCGACCCGATCAACAAGGTGGTGTACCAGCGCCCATCGTCGTCTTCCTCGCCGCAGAAGGTGGCGCTCGTGGCCGGGGGCGGGGCGGGCCACGAACCTTCCTTCGCGGGCATGGTAGGCCCGGGGATGCTGAACGCGGCGGTGTCGGGCACCATCTTCGCCAGTCCGTCGACGGAGCAGGTGCACGCGGCCATGGCGGGGAGGCTGGACCCGGCCAAGTCATCCGACGGGGTGCTCGTCGTCGTCATGAACTACACGGGCGACGTGCTCAACTTCGGCATGGCGGTCGAGAAGGCGCGGGCGTCCGGGCGCGTCAGGGGCGTCGAGATGGTCGTGGTCGGGGACGACGTGGGCGTCGGACGGGCCAGGGCCGGCAAGGTTGGCAGGCGGGGCATCGCGGGGACGGTGCTGGTGGTCAAGGTCGCCGGTGCCCTGGCCGCGCGCGGATACCGGCTCGACCAGGTGGCGCGGGTGGCCAGGCTGACGGCGGACAACCTCGTCAGCGTGGGCGCCAGCCTGGAGCACGTGCACGTTCCCGGCCGCTCGGCTGCAGACGCGGACGCGGAGGACGCGCTGGGCACCGACGAGGCGGAGATCGGCATGGGCATCCACAACGAGCCCGGGTGCGCGCGCGTCAGGGTGGAGCTTCCCGAGCTGGTAGCCGGCATGCTGAGGCAGATGCTCGACCGGGACGACGAGGACCGCGCCTTCGTGCCGGTCAGCTCGAACGAGGTGGTGCTGCTGGTCAACAACCTGGGCGGCGTGAGCCCGCTGGAGCTGGGGGCCGTGACGGCCGAGGTGGCGTCGCAGCTGCGGCGGGACCACGGCATCCGGCCCGTGCGCGTGCTGAGCGGCACGTACATGACCAGCCTGAACGGGCTGGGCTTCAGCATCACGCTGCTCAACGTCGTCAACACGGACATCGGCGGGCCGAGCATGGTCGACCTGCTGGACGACCCGAGCGAGGCGACCGGGTGGGCCGCGCCCGTCGCCAAGACGTCGTGGGAGGCCCGCAGCACGGCCGAGCTGACGGATGACGTGTCCGGGTCTCACGAGGTGGGCGCCTCCGGGCTCGAGCTGGTCGGCGACCCCGCCGCCGCCCAGGCCGCTCTGGTGCGCGGGCTGGACGCCGTCGTCGCCGCCGAGCCCGACGTGACGCGGTACGACACCGTCGTCGGCGACGGCGACTGCGGCATCGGCCTCAAGAGGGGCGCCCAGTCCGTCCTCGAACACGTCGCCTCCCGCCCGCTCACGGCCGACCCCGTCGTCGACCTGGCCTCCATCGTGCCCGTCGTCGAGCGCTCCATGGACGGCACCTCGGGCGCCCTGTACTCCATCTTCCTCAACGCCCTGGTCGGCGCCCTGGCCGGCTCGCCCGCCGGCCCCGCCGAGCCCAGGGTATGGGCCGCCGCCCTCAGGAGGAGCTGCGACGCCCTGTCCAGGTACACCCCCGCCAGGCCGGGGGATCGAACCCTCGTCGACGCGCTGCACCCGTTTGTCGACGAGCTGGAGAGGTCGGGTGACCTGGCCGAGGCGGCCAAGGCGGCCAAGGATGCCGCCGACGCTACCAAGGGCATGGAGGCAAGTCTCGGACGCAGCGTCTATGTTGGTGGCGACGGGTTCACGAAGGTTCCCGATCCCGGTGCTCACGGTCTTGCCTGTTTCTTCCTGGGACTGGCTGGGCTATAGATGATGGGAGATTGCCTAGTAGATAGTAGGTGGAAGGGACATGCCGAACCTGTACATTTGCGTATATAGTAGATGTCACGAAACTGCACAAAACATTGAAAACTGGTCCCAACGCTTGTAGCGTGTGTGTGTGTGTGTGTGTGTGTGTGTGTTTATTGCTTTTTTTTTGTTATATTTCTTCTGAAAAGAGATGATGATAGGACGTAACAGCATAACCCTCCATTTACTTTTTTTTCTTTGTTCTGACCGCCATGGAATTCAACCGCAACCCCTCCTCTCTAAGAGTCAATGTAAGAAAATAAGAAATCGTCAACAAACGCGATCAGCTCAGAAGCACCAGGATGACACTATCTCCCCTCAGGAACCTAGTTATTGTGTCAGTATGTCTATATTCAGAACAGGGAGTGAAGAGGGGAATGAAGAGACAAGGGGGGGGGGGGAGAACGCACATCTTGCTAATGAACCGATCCTTGTTCACAGGGCGACCCTTCTTCCCGTCGGCCAACCTCGGCGTCTCGGTCCACATCTCCTTGACGTTCTCGAGGACCATGTTGCAGTGGCGGTCAAAAGCCTTGACGCGGGCCAGGAGCTTGCGGTTGTTGCGCACCGAGATGAGGACCTGGTTGTGCGATCGGACGGCGGTCTGGAGGATGGAGAGGGGACCGGCCGAGAACTCGTGCTCCTCTAGCTGGGCAATCTCGTACTCGCTGCGTTTTTGTCTGTCAGTTTTCGGGCGCTCGGGCGCGCGGGCGCGGGGGCAGGGCAGGGAGAGTCTGGGTTAGACTTACGTGAGTTCGGAGCGCGGCTTCGTAAGAAGCTCCCTGTTGATCATCTGTCAGTATTAAGCTTCTTCTTTTGTTTTTTTTTTGGGGAGGGGAATTATGAAGGGGTATATCCGGGAAGAACAAGAAGGGCATACTGTATCTTGACGTCCGCCATGGCTGATGGAGGTTCTGGGTGCTGTTGGGTTGTCGTTCGTCGCGTGCGAGGCTGAAGCTGATGTCCATCAAAAAGTTGGGCAAATGTACAAAAGAGAGGAGCAAGCTACGCTTATGATTGGTCAAGAGTGGTACCCTGTGTGAATAGATAATCTCGCACCACTACTTGGTGGAAGAAGTTCTCTTTTTGATAATGGCACTTACCTACTACCTTTCTTGGATAGCATCCTCGGCTCGGTCCCTCTGCTTAACCGTGGGAAAAGTAGGAAATCTACTGCGGTCCTTCTCCAGACGTCACATCATACTACTCGTACTCCTTCTCTCCCCTTTGAAAACCTTCAATCCCGCACCTCCCCTCCTTTACGACACAACCCTGCCATCTGCTCTCGATGCGCTTGTGACCTCTGCGAGCGTATAGTAGTGCATCTGGCCCCAAATGTTCCTCCGAACCGTCGCGGGTCGAGCTGGTTTGGCAGCAAACACTGCTTCACGACGTCAGGGTCTCGTCGCGGCCCAGCAAGCAAGAATTATGAGCTCCGTCTTTACTCGTCCGGTGTGTCAGCTTACCTTTCAGAAATTCAACCTCATAACGCCATCCGCGCTCTTCTTCCTCCTCTTCTCCTCTCTTGTCGCCGGTTCTTTCTCTAACTTGTCCCTCTCAGCTATCGTCGGAAGCCTCGACAATCAAGGAGCTCCCCGGCGACGAGTCGCACGATGTCGTCTTCGAAAATAGGTACGGCCTACGGAGCATCACGCTCAACCGACCTAAAAAACTCAACTCTCTCAACGCGTCCATGATCCGCAAGATTGTCCCCCGCATGGTGGAGTGGGAGAAGTCGGACATGGCCAACGTCGTGGTGGTCAAGGGCGCGGGCGAGAAGTCCCTGTGCGCGGGCGGCGACGTGGCCGCGCTGGCCAAGGCCAACCTGGAAAAGGAGGACGGGTGGAAGTCGTCGGCTGAGTACTTTGGACTCGAGTACAAGCTGGACCACCTGATTGCGACGTACGAGAAGCCCTATATTGCCATGATGGACGGCATCACCATGGGCGGTGGCGTCGGCCTCAGCATGCACGCGCCCTTCAGGATCGCGACGGAGCGCACCGTCTTCGCCATGCCCGAGACGACCATCGGCTTCTTCCCCGACGTGGGCGCATCCTTCTTCCTGCCCCGCATGAACGGCGCCGTGGGCACGTACCTCGCCCTCACGAGCGAGAGGCTGACGGGCGCCAACGTGCTGTACTCGGGCGTGGCGACGCACTACCTGCACTCGTCCAGCCTGCCAGACCTCGAGGCCCGCCTAGGAGAGCTGCGGTTCCGCGACGACAACACCCTCCTGCAGCGCCTGCAGCTCATCAACGCCACCATCGAGGAGTTCTGCACCGGCCTCCCCTACGACGAGCCCATGCAGCTGAGCGGCGACATCCGCCGCGCCATCGACAGGTGCTTCAGCAAGAACACCATCTCCGACATCATCGCCGCCCTGAAGGAGGAGCGCGGCCCCAGCACCGAGGAGTGGGCGCAGAGGCAGCTGGCCACGCTGCAGAAGCGGTCCCCCACGGCCGTCAACGTCACCCTCCGCCAGATGCGCACCTCCAAGTCCTGGGACATTGCCCAGACCTTCAAGCGCGAGCACCAGATCGCCACGCAGTTCATGAAGCACCCCGACTTTAGCGAGGGCGTCACGGCCCTGCTGGTCCGCAAGGAGGCACCCAGGTGGCAACCCGCCACCCTCGAGGACGTCTCCGCATCCGGCCAAGACGTGACCGACCCCTTCTTCGCCTACGACGAGTCGCAGGAGCTGTCGCTGCTCAGCGACCGCACCTACAGCGAGTACCCCTTTGCCCAGTTTGGCGTCCCCTCTGAGAGGGAGGTCGAGGACCTCATCAAGGCGCCCGGCGGGTCGCCCATGACCCCACGACAGCTCGAGGCCACGCTCATCGCGTCGAGGCAGGGTCGCCAGGGCACCGCCGAGGTGGTGCGGGAGATCATGGAGCGCAAGACGGATGTTGATGATCAAGGGCATGTCAAATGGGTGTCGGACGAGGTGTCGCCTAAACTGTAGAATTACTATATGACCGGGAAGATGCCCTTGCCCATCTTCTCGTATTGTTCTCTTACTATGTCATTTGTACGAGGCTACTTCGACTACTGACTGGATGGGTATCGGATCGTCCGTCGTATCCAGCTATATATTAGTTATTCCTGTAAAACATGTAAGCAAAACATATAAACACGAACTACGTTGCCATCATGATTTTGTGTGAGATTGGTAGGGACGAATGAAGTAGATGAAAGAAGAGTAAAGTGGAATAGTACGATGGGAAGGAACGTTGGCGGTCTGAGAATTTGCCAATGGTGGCATGGTGGCATGGCCGACCGAAAGGGGAGTGAGTGGATGATGGATGGAGATGGCCTCATCAGTTTGAGGTGGTGGGGGTATCATGTGGGAAAGGTGAAAGGGTACGGTGAAGGGTGAAACCACTCGGGTGGGTCTATAAACTATGGCAAAGAGTGAATGAAAATGACCTCACACTGGAAAGAGGGAACAATAGTGTGTGTGTGTGTGTGTGTGAGTGTGTGTGTTGAGATGGAGGGTGGGAAAAAGAGGAAGAAAAAATGCCCGTGGCAAAAGGATGTGCGGGTAGTGCGGGTGTGTATCAGTCACGAGGAGTGACGGGAAATGGGGGTGATGATACGGAGAAGCAGCAATATGGTAGAGGAAGAAGAAAAAAAAAGGATCACGGATAAGAAACAAAAGTGCGCAAACGGACATAGGAGAGAAGAGGGAAAGGGGGGGGGGGGGGGGGGGGGGGGGGGGGAGGAAAGAGGGAGAGGAGGAGGAGGAGGACTGATAGAGAGAGCGAGACAAGTTGACGACCAGGTCCAAAGCAAGAGTATAAAAGGAAGGGGACACCCGCAACCGTGGAATCCCAGGAGTCACAGACAACACAAACAAAGAAGGAAAAGGACCCTCCGCGGTATCGGTCTCTCAAGGGTCAGGCAAAGCTGTCAGAAAACGGGCAGTTCCCTTTTCTGACTTGGATGCTTCTTCGTTACGGGTTTTGCTTCATTACTTTGCGCATTCATTCTCAAGGCAGCATCCCCCCCAAACCACTCTCTCTCTCTCTGGCCCCACCCCCTCGTCAGCCTCAGGCAACAAAGGTTGGAACTCTGCTGAGAAGGGGACAAAAAGCGGGGCTGAAGTCCCGGGCACGCAGCGGCCGATACCATCACGCAGCTTTGCACGCTTCCACGCATAGGCTATAGCGGATTAGCGGTTGTCGGGTCGAGTGTGCATGTGTCTCCATCTGTGGCTTGACTTTTTATTCTATCTCATTTTTATCAACCCACGTGTGTGGCTGGTGAGAGACTTGTCCCGAATAGGTCAAGTCACTATCGGCGCGTCCAATCCATCAAACCTCCAGGTCACTTACACGCTCTTGACGCGGCGCGAGAGATAGAAGGAAAGGTGTGTGTGTTGGTTTTGGTCTTTTTTTTTTTTTTTTTTTTTTTTTGCNTCCAGGTCACTTACACGCTCTTGACGCGGCGCGAGAGATAGAAGGAAAGGTGTGTGTGTTGGTTTTGGTCTTTTTTTTTTTTTTTTTTTTTTTTTTTTTTTTGCTCGTTCTTTCGGCACATACACACAAGACTATTTACGTTTTACTGCTTTCCTCCTTCCAAAATTTCCTACTAGTATCACTACGGCTCTTTCCTTTTTTTTTCTTCTTCTTTTTTTCTGGGGGGGAGGGGGATTTCCTTGCAGAAGAACCCCTGCCTTCCCCACCTCTCTGCCCTCTTCCCACCTCCACCCTGAGCCGGAAGTAAAAAGATAGAGGGACACGCGCCTGGACCACGACCAAGGGTGGGACCGTGGATTTGCTGCGCGTCACGAACATGACGCCTGCCACCCCAATTTGATCCAGACAATCGAGACACACGCACAACAATCTCAACCGCTCCCTCACCTCTCTCCCTGGACACTTGACGGCTTCTTCTTTTTTTTCTTCTCTTCTCCTACTGTGTTCCGGCTCTATACCCCTCATCAACAGTCGACACATCACATATCCACCACAGTCACCACCGCTCTATCGTCGTCTCATTCCCTCTCCTCCCTCGGTTATCTCGAGGACGAAATCACACGCTGCCCCCCCGGCGATCGGGTGTCACGTCCCATGGCGTCGCCTGTCCCCTTCCAGCCCGCGACGGCTGGCTGGGACGGTAACGGCCGAGCGATATCACCTTCTGCTGTCGCTGTCAACCAAGATGACGAATCTGGTCTTCAGACCAGGCCAGTCGGCCGTACGTTGGAATCCTCTCAAGAGGCTCGCTTGCTTGCCCGCTTGCTTCCCCCTTCGTGGCTGCGGCCTGCTGCTAACCCGGAAACCCCCAGTCAAGGTCTTCTACAAGCTGGACAGTCACCTCATGAACAACTGTCTCGCCAAACCCTCCGAGACCTTCCACGTCCAGACCATGCCCCTCAACGAAGCCACCATCATCGGCGCCATTGACCTGCGCCTGTGCATTCAGGCCGTCATCGACTGCAGCCCCGAGCTGACCACCCACCAGTGCGACTACACGATCTACGCTCACGACTACTCGGAGCCTGACACGCCGCTCATGGGTCAGGGAATGCTGTCCACCGCCCTGCGGTCGTTACATCACCATGCTGGCCAGCAGCAGCAGCCAAAGATGGTCACCGGTCTCGTCACCAAGAACAGGATGGGGCTCTTCATGGGCCACGCAAATCGAGAGACGCTCGAGGTCAAGATGGAGTTCACCGCGACGTCGAGGGCCCAGCAGCCTCAGTACCTGCAGCAACAGCCACAGCAACAGCCGCACTACGCACAACCTCCGTCTCAGCAATATCACCCTCAGCCTCCGCAACCTCCGTCCCAGCCGCAGTATCACCCGCCGCCGCCGCCGCCGCCGCCGCAGCAGCAGCAGCAGCAGCAGCAACCATACCCGTCTCAGCAGCCGGAATCGACTCCCACCGTCAGGCCAGTCGACGGATCCATGACGCCCACCGGTGTTGCTGAGTGGAGCTCCTTTATGCAGTCCAACCCTCACATCGGACAGCAGCCGGCCTCCATCTCCCGCACCGCCTCGCCTGCCCTATCTCAGGGGCACCAGCACCACCAGCAGTCGCAGCCGATCCAGCCGAGGAGGGACTCGTTTACCCAGCAACCCCAACTACAGTCTGTACCGCCCCAGGAGATCCTCCGGGTAGCACCTATCCCCATGGACCAGTCTGTAGAGTCGGATCTCCCTCACGCTCCCTCGTCACGGCCGTCTAGCAGAGCCTCGAACCGAGCTCCCAGGAGGAGAGCTCCCACCGGCCGTCCGCGCGGCCGCCCGAGGAAGAAGGTCAATGAAGGGAACACGTCCGGCTACGAGGATGGGACCGAGGGCGAGGACGGCCCGGCCAAGAAGCGCGTCAAGACGACTGTGGTGGACAGGGCAGCGCCCAATCCCTTCGGCACAGAGCCAGAATCGCTCCGTGTGGCCGCCAGCGCCTCGAGCTCCCTGCGCAGCTTCCGCCCCATCGGCCCGGCCCAGGAGGGCGGTAGAGCCCACCACCTGCAGGACGTGCCGCGGGCCCCGACGCCCGTCCCCAGCGGACCGTTCCTCGGCCGCGCAGGGGGGGCCAAGAAGGCCGCCGTCCCCTCCGCCGTGAGCCGCGAGGCTTCTCTGGGACGCCCGTCTCCCCGCTCGCAGAGGATGCGCCCCCTGTCTCCCAGCCAAGAAGACGGGCGGTCGCCCGAGTCCGCGGTCCAGACGCCCGCCTTCTCCGACGACAGCCACATGGACATTGGATCGTCGCCGCCTGTGCCGCGTACCACCTCGTTCCTCCAGTCCAGCCCGCCGCCCTCCAGCCCCATGCTGCCGCCCATGCCGCAGAACCTGGCGTCGCAGGACGATGCCATGGAGCCGCCGGACGACAACCTTCTGGGTGAGACGGCAGCGCCGCCAGCCAACGTGGCGGCAGCGGCAGCAGGAAGGTCCCTCGCAGGAGCACGTGGCGCACGTCCTGCCCCGCGCACCCTGGCTCCCGCTCCCGCTCCCGCTCCCGCTCCCGCGCCGCCTCGCAGGACCAAGATCGGCACCAAGAGGAGCTCGTCGACCATTCCCATGCAGGTGTTTAGAATGGAGGATGGACCCACCGGTCAGCAGGACATGGTCCACCTGGCCAGCTACAATACTCCCGATCCCCAGCCCAGGAAGGTGATTCTCCGTCCGCCTCAGCAGAAGCAGCAGCAGCAGCAGCAGCAGCAGCAGCAGCATAGGCACACGTACAGCAACAATAACAATGCTTCCTCGGCCGTGTTTGGCGCTCCTACGCCCCCGCAGACTACGGATGCTACAGAGAAGCCGACAAGTCCGCCGGACCCGGTGGAGGGCCGGGAACAGGAAGGCTTCGCGTCCGGCCCTGCCCCGCTGCAGCCGATGGGTGAGCAGAGGAGGCAGGAGGAGGAACAGCGACGACAGATGGACGAGCAGAAGGGACGGGAGGGACAACAGCAGCCGCAATCAGGAGAGCAGCCGCTCGAGCAGATGGTGGCTAACAGCCCCGCGAACACACAACCCATCGACGCCCAAGAACAGCAGCAGCAGCGGCTCCAGACGGCTGAGGAACCCGAGAAGAAGGAGCAAGATGCGGTCAAGGCAGCGGATAAGCCTAAACCTCGTCCCCGGTCCCGCAAGCTGGCCAGGTCACAGTCTGCCGGGGCGCTCGCACTGCCCGCCGTGCCGGCTAGCGAACCGGCCGGGCCGTCTTCGCTGTCGCAGACGGTCTCCGTGTCCATCGAGACGGACCAGCAGCCCTCGGAGCACCCTGCCGGCCTGCGACGCGCGCAGTCGTCCGGTCCCACGGGCGCAGGTATCCCTGCCAGCGACCCCGTCGGGCCTCCTCCCTCCACGCAGGACCGGCAACCGTCTCCGACGGTGGCCCTCCCGGAATCCGCCAGAGGGTCTACGTCTGCCACTCCCGCCCAACGGCGACCACCGTCGTCGTCGGTGCTGGCCCTCCCGGAACCTACGGAACCCGCTGGCGACAGCGACATGATGGTTCTCCTCCCTCATTCGCCCCCACAGGGAGGCAAGGAGCGTTCTAATAAGAACGTGACCAAGAAGAACGCCATCAAGGAGAAGCTCGAGGCAGCCATCAAGCGCGGAGAGATGCCCCCCTACTGCAACAACTGCGGCGCCATCCAGACGCCGACGTGGCGCAAGGTCTACGCGCAGGAGCACACGGGCGTGCCGCCACAACACGCTCAGGAGGAGTTTTCTACCAAGCCCGGAATGATCACGACGATTGAGATACTCGCGCGCGACGGCAACGGCGAAGACACCGCCCCCACGTCGTACCGAGTGGTGAAGAAGGCGCTCGGACCTGACGAGGACAAGTCGGAGTGGCAGGTGCTCCTCCTGTGCAACCCCTGCGGTATCTGGCTGGGGAAATGCTATGCTCACCGTCCCCCTGACCGTTGGGATGGCGACGCCGCACGGCTGGGTCGCGAGAGGAAGCATCGGTCGGCGACAAAGGGACGCAGCAAGAGCCGGAGCCAGCCGCCTATCGAAGTCGAGGCGTTGGAAAGGGATACCTCGGCCCCCCAGCAATCAACCGCCAAGAAGACAGCAGCAGCAGCAGCAGCGACAGCACTGTTGGCCGAGACGGCGGAGACGGACAAGGCCCCGGAAACGGCGGGTGAAGGCCCGGCCGAGATGCAGCTCGACGCAGCCATGGGCCTCACGAAGCGTCTGCTCTTCCCCTCGCCGCGCAAGGACGACTCGCCCAAGGCCCTGGGCGAGCTCAACGTCAACGTCCCGGCCGCGGGTGCGTCGGCCGGCGGCCAGCACAAGGAGGCTACAGCGCAGAAGGAGAATGCCGGGCAGGACGGACCGACACCGGCCGCACCGGCCGACGACCTGGAAGATCTGTTCCGCGACCCCATGCCCCCGCGGCCATCGACGCCTCCGTCCAACCGGTCCAGGGCTGGAGGGCCGCCCGCCACGGCGTTCAAGACGCCTACCCGCGCAGCCGCCACGACACCCAACCGCCGTCCTGTAACGAGGAGCGTGTCGCGCTCGATCCGGTCAAAGGAGTCATCCATGGCGACGCCCGTGGCCGACTTTCAGAGGACACCGACACGCACGCCGAGCAAGATGCTCAGCAGCAAGCTCCTCAGCCTGAGCAACAACAAGCGTCGCAACAGTCCGAGGCATCACAACAACAGCCACCATAGCGTAGGGGTCCACAACAATATCGGCTACGGCAACCCCGGGGTCGACTTTGACGACGCCATCTTCGACACGCCCATGAGCCGAGCCGTCAACCAGATGCTCTCGGAGACCAACTTTGGCCTAGACGACGAGATGGACCTCGTCGACCTGGACTCGACTGCTGGCGGGCACGGCGGCGATGCGGCCAACTGGGCTAGCTTCAGCACCCTTTTCAGCACGGATGTGCCCATGCCTAGCTCTCCTCCAAAGGACAGGTTGGCTTTTGCGGAGAGTGTTGAGTCTTGGGGGTCATGGGGGATGGATGCCATTGATGATATGTGATGTGTTTTCTTCTTCTTCTCTCTTTCACGTCTCACACTTTTCTTATCACTCGTCTCTCTCTAGGGGATTCTTTTTTCTGTTGTTTGTCGCTATAAATAGGGAAAGGAAAGGAAAGGAAAGGAAATGGTAAAGGCGTTATGGGAGCAAGACATGCAAGATGTGACATCACTTCTGGATGGCATTACTCTGGATCATGGTGTAGGTTTCTATTTTTTTAATGAATCATTCAGGCATCTACAGAACAGAGAGGCAACGTATTCAGAAGAAGATGAAGATCTGAAAATCTAGCGAGATGACTTCTTTTCTTTTTCTTGCAATAAGAAGAAATGACAAGATATCGTGTCTTTCTATTTGCCATGAAGCATGAAATTCTCGATAATAAGCAAGTGGGACAGAAGAGGAAGAGACTGAAAGTGTTTTGCATAAACACCAAATGCCATCAGGAAGAAAGTTGTTCCGGCCCGAGGCTATGCCTCAGGTGGTACGCAGAGCATCACCAATCACCAACCTCATCATCTTCATTAGGAGCCTTGGATAGGTTAACGTAACAAGAATAATATCATCACAACCGCTGCGGCCCGTCATTCGAAGGGACTGGTGCACCTGTGTGATCGCTCACTATTATCTGTGCGCAATTGCGAATCAACAGAAAGTGATGGAGCGCAATGGAAAGTGTGTGAAGACGCAGCCAACTATCTCAGACAAGCAATCCCGTCATTTCAGGCGTCGTGCTACCAGCACCTGAATGAATGGTCAGGCTTGACGCGCGGTTACGTCTCTTGTATGCATGCGAGCCGTGGTGGTGCGATGGTAGCAGGCAGATTGACGCCTCAAGGGGAGCTGTCTCAAGGGGAGCTGTCCTACCGTGTACTTGCACGATAAAACAAACAAGACCAAGAACCTCGGACTGGCATGCCAACAGTCACTCTGTTCGAATATGGGACTGCCATTCACCTCTCTGACTCTCCAGTACAGTAACATAGAGGCCACCGCGACAAAGGCAAACAGACTTGCATGATGCACGTACACGGTGCAGAGGTCTACGGTGCAGAGGTCTCGAAGGAGGAGCTGCAGCATGCCACCGACCAAAGCGAGCAATGAGAAGAAAGGAAAAGGGAGCAGAGAGGATGGATGGCCCAGACAAAAGGAAACATGAGGTGGGGTAAGGTATGACAATGCATTAGGCCGACAAAGATGAATGGGCATTACCCGCTGCTGCTGCATGGCCTCAATAGCAATACAGATAGTACTGGCCACCGAGCAGGTTGTTTGTATTTTTATATATTATATACGACTTATGCGTATACATGTACATGTATACCGTCTAGCGTAACCCCTCTTCCAGAACGTCATCACTTCATTCTTTTCTTCTCATCCTCTACTCCACACATCCTATTCAACTTACTGCGCGTTACCGACTACAACTACCTGAACAGACATCATCAACGGCCATGTCTAGCCGCGGAGGTCGTGGGCTCGGAGGTGGCGGACGAGGAGATGGAGGTGGAGGACGTGGCGGCGGCGGCGGCGGACGCGGAGGTGGAGCCCCGTTTCGAGGTGGTCAAGGTGGTCGAGGTGGCGGACGCGGAGGAGGAGGATACCAAGGCAGCGGAGTGCCTACTGCGTGAGTACATATCTGTCGTGAGCCTCTTCAAGACGACGGCGACAAGACAAGACGATTGCGGGTGCTGATGGGGTTACCAAATATTCAAGACCACCCGGAGGAGTTCCCGTGCCGGACAGGACGGTGACCAAGATCGAGGATGGCCTCAAGACATCGATGGACATGACTAAGCTGAGCCTCAAGGATAAGGAGAGGCTGGACATGCCGACGCGGCCGGTGTACGCGACCGGCGGGCGGGCCGTGGTGCTGTGGGCCAACTACGTTGCTCTTGAGGCGCCTCCGAAGCTGACGCTGCACCGGTACGACATCTCGGTGACGCCCGAGGTGACGGGCAAGAAGCTGACGCAGGTGGTCCGTCTGCTCCTGGAGGTCCCGGATCTGGCGGCGCTGAGGGACGACGTGGCCTGCGACTTCAAGGCGACGCTAGTGTCCCGGCGGGAGCTGCCCGGCCCGGCCACGGACGTGACGGTCCGGTACCGCGGCGAGGACGAGGAGACGGCTCGCGAGAGCGCGCCCGAGTACCGGGTGCGGCTCCGGCGGTACCCCAACGCGCTGACGGTGTCGGACCTGAAGGCCCACCTGACGTCGGCGGACCTGTCGGCCGTGTACGACGACAAGCTGCCCATGATCCAGGCGCTCAACATCTTCCTAAACCACTACGCCAAGTCGAGCGGCAACCTGGCCACCATCGGCGCCTCCAAGGTCTTCGCCATGGGCAGCCAGTCCGACACCTTCGACCTGGGCGGCTGCCTGACCGCCGTGAGGGGCTTCTTCGCCAGCGTGCGCGCCGCCACCGGCCGCATCCTCGTCAACGTCAACGTCAGCCACGGCGCCTTCTACAACGAGGGGCCCCTCCTCCAGCTCTTCCTGACATTCGGTCGCCAGCGGGGCCTGTTCAGGCTCGAGTCCTTCATCAAGGGCCTGCGCGTCAGGACTACCCACCTCAAGGAGCGCAAGAGGTCCAACGGCCAGGTCATACCCCGCGTCAAGACCATCTTCGGCCTGGCCGGCCGGAATGACGGCCACGGCCTCGCCCATCCGCCCAGAGTCAAGGCCATGGGCGCCGGCGCCAAGGACGTCGAGTTCTGGCTGGACGCTCAAGGCCAGGATACCTCCACTCCTGCCCCTGCTCCTGAAGGTGCCGATAAGGGAGGTCCGCCGGGGGCAGCGGCGCCGAAGAAGAAGAAGAAGGCCAAGGGAGGCACATCTGCGCCTGCGCCCGCACCCGCTCAGGGTGGTGGTGGTGGTGGCCGGTATATTTCCGTCTACGATTTCTTTTCCAACAGTACGTTGCGGGGAGATGATGGATGATGATGATGTGGGTGAGCGTATATGAGCACTGACGAGGATTGTAGCCTACGGCATACAGATCGCCAACCCAGAGATGCCCGTCGTCAACGTTGGAAACAGGGCGAACCCGACCTATCTCCCCTTGCAGGTGTGTCATGTGCTTCCGGGCCAGGCGGCCAAGACGAAGCTCGATCCGGGACAGACGCAGAGCATGATCCGCTTCGCTGTTCGGCGACCGGCGGAGAATGTGTTGTCGATTGTGAACAACGGCCTGGCCACGGCTGGCTTGTCTGGCAACACGAATCCACTACTTGTGAGTTCCCGAACTGATCCTCGACGGTTCCCCCCTTTTCCGGCGCCTGCAGAGGGAGGCAGTTCGATGCTGACATATTCCTCCAGGCCAGGTTTGGAATCTCGGCGACGAACAGCCTGATCACGGTGCCCGGCCGGGTGCTCAACGGACCCCGCGTCGTGTACAAGCAGAAGAAGCAAGCGCATGTGGCCAACGGCAGCTGGAACATGGTGCCGCGCGACTCGGCCAAGCTCATGTTCGACACGGCGGGCAGCCTGAGCAAGTGGTCGTGCCTGTATATTGATATGCCGAGCATGTACCCGAGCGCGCGGCGGTTCAACTCGCAGGAGCTAGGGCAGCTGGTCAGCAGCTTCCACGGCGTGCTGCGGGACACGGGTATGGCGGCGGCGCCGCCGCTGCCGCCGCAGCGCGTGGAGCTCAGCGGCACGGACGACGAGCAGCTGGACACCTTTATGCAGCGGGCGTCGTCGAGCCTGCAGATGCTGCTGGTGATCCTGCCGACGACGCCGATTCCGCTGTACGACCGGCTCAAGCAGCTGGGCGACGTCAAGTACGGCGTGCACACGGTGTGCAGCGTGGGCAGCAAGATGGCCAAGCCGCAGGGCCAGGACCAGTACCTGCGCAACCTGGCGCTCAAGTTCAACCTCAAGCTCGGCGGCGTCAACCAGTCGGTCGACCCGGGCAACCTCGGCGTCGTGGCCGAGGGCAAGACCATGGTGGTGGGCATCGACGTGACGCACCCGTCGCCCGGGTCGGCGTCGCACGCCCCCAGCATCGCGGGCATGGTGGCCAGCATCGACGCCAGGCTGGGCCAGTGGCCCGGCGTGCTGAGCATCCAGTCGCGCAGCCGCCAGGAGATGGTGTCGGACCTGGGTGCCATGCTCAAGTCGCGCCTCGCCCTCTGGCGCGCCAGGAACAAGTCCGCCCTGCCCGAGAACATCCTCGTATACCGCGACGGCGTCTCGGAGGGCCAGTACCAGCTCGTCCTGGACACGGAGGTGCCCCTCCTCCGCGAGGCCTGCAGGCAGGTCTACCCCGCCCCGGACCAGTCGAGGGGCCTGCCGCGCATGGCCGTCGTCGTCGTCGGCAAGCGCCACCACACGCGCTTCTACGCCACGCAGGACGCCGACGCCGACCGCTCCGGGAACACCAAGCCGGGCACCGTCGTCGACAGAGGCGTGACCGAGACCCGCATCTGGGACTTCTTCCTCCAGGCCCACGCCGCCCTCCAAGGCACGGCCAGGCCGGCGCACTACTGCGTCATCCTCGACGAGATCTTCCGCCGCCGCGCCGGCGGCGCAGCTGGTGCTACCGCTGCCGGTAGCAACGTCGCCGACAAGCTGCACGAGCTGACCCAGAGCATGTGCTACGTCTTTGGTCGCGCCACAAAGGCCGTCAGCATCTGCACCCCCGCTTACTATGCTGACATCCTGTGTGAGAGGGCGAGGTGCTATCTCAAGGATATCTTTGATGCGGGCTCGGTTGCCGCGCCGTCATCGGCTCCTGGCAGTGGCATGGGTGCGCAGGATGACGATGTCCGTATCCATGCGCGACTCAAGGATAGTATGTTTTATATATGATACCTCTTCACGCCCCTATCTCCTTTTCCTTCCTCTCTTCGTTCCCCTTGCTTCGATGCGTTTGGATTTGATTTGTTTGCTTTCAATGCCATTTCGGTTATGTTTAGCTAGGACAGACATTTACATATTTGGTCCATGAATGGACTGGTAAAACTGTACTACAGGATGAAGTGGAGGGGGTTTTTTTTTTCGTAGATACCTATAGCAGAATGATTGAATGAATATGATCGTCTCTTCTTCGTATCAAAGAGCTCCCTTGGAAAAAGAAATGAAAGGAAGATGGATTATTCAACCGTGACATGCTGGTTTAGATATGTATACGACGTACCTATAGCCCCACCACTTTACGCGGCAGATCCAGACGCGTCGCACCGCGTCGCACATCCCGCATCCATCAAGACTTTAGACTACTACAGACCTCGACTCTCCAATCTACGTCCCATCCCTCCCTCCTCCTCCTTCCCGCTCGTCATAAGAAGGCATACCCGACAGAGAGGCCTCCGGCAACGATAACGAAATGGCCGACCAACTCCAGTCGCGCTTCTCTCCCAACAAGGCTTTGGAGCCCGATATCCTGGCCGAGCTCCAGTCCATGATGCGCCTCCACGACCTGTCAGTCGAAGACCTGTATCTGAAATGGGACTCGTACTGTCTCAGGATGGAGACGGACGCCGACGTCGTGACTCTCCAGGGAATCCGGGGTCTCAAGCAGACCATCCAGGACACGCTCGAGAGGGAGAACAGCACCGGCACCTCCAGCAACGTCGGCCGAAAGAAGCCGGGCCACGGCGGCTCGAGACAGCAACCACACGCCGCGCCTCGCGCCGGCGCAGCAGGCGGCTCCGACGTATTCGGCATGCTGGATGGGATGGTCCCCAGCACGCCGTCCGGCGGGAGGCTGGGGAAGAGTGGTGGCGGCGCCGGCAGTCTGAGGAAGAAGGCTGTTGACGGGACGCCCAGAGCTGCTGGGCCGGCGAGTTCACCGGCTGCTGGGCGGAATATGGGCGAACAGCTGGAGAGCATGGCGAGTCCGTAAGTCTTTTCTCTCTTCTTTTTTTTCTTTCTTTTGCTCTGAGCTTCCCTCTCTTCTGATGTATAGACGATGCCTGACAGGAGTTGAAGCGCAACGTCATTCGCCGACCGCAACAAGCCAGGTGAGGTCGTGGAGATTCTCAACAGCCACCTCGCCGCATCGGAAGCCCCCCTGGCCCCCTACTCGGAGCCGCGTATCAAGCTCAAGGTCGCCTCGGACCAGACAAAGATGGCGTACAAGCCCCTAGCCATGAAGCTCTCGGAGGCGAGCGAGATACTGGACGACCGGATCGACGAGTTCGCCGCCGTGGTCCAGGAGCACCACCAGCTCGAGGACTCCGCCTTCGGCAGCGCCGCCAGCCAGAGCACCACGCCCATCGTGGCGGTCGGCCGCATCGCGTCGGACTCGATGGAGGGGAGGCTCAATGCCGCGTCGCTGGTGCTGGAGACGTCGCGCCGCACGGGCATGGGGCTCCGCGTGCCGCTGGACCTGGCCAAGGTGAGAGGCGGCTGGAGCTTCTTTCCCGGCCAGATCGTCGCGCTCAAGGGGAGCAACGCGTCGGGCAAGTCGTTCGTTGTCGACGAGATCCTCGAGATGCCGCTGCTGCCCAGCGCCGCGTCGTCCGTCTCGGCCATCGATGCGCACAGGCAGAAGCTCATGGCCGACCCGGACGCCATGGTCGACGATGACGAGGACGGCGCAGTCCCGGCCCCGCTGAACATCATATTCGCCGCGGGGCCCTACACGGCGGACGACAACCTCGACTTCGAGCCCCTCCACTCGCTGTGCGGCCAGGCGGCTGACACGTACGCCGACGCCGTGGTGCTCATGGGTCCCCTGATGGACATTGACCACCCGCTCCTCGCGTCGGGCGACTTCGACCTCCCCGACGAGGCCGGCGCCGACGCCGACACGGCCACCATGTCGACGGCCTTCCGGTACATGTTCGCGCCGGCCCTGCAGCGCCTAGCCGCCTCCAACCCGTCCGTCACCATCATCCTGGTCCCCTCGGTCCGCGACGTCCTGGACAAGCACGTCTCGTGGCCGCAGGACACGATCCCGCGCCACAAGGAGCTCGGACTCCCCAAGGCCGCGCGCATCGTCTCGAATCCCATGGCCCTCCAGATGAACGAGTCCGTCGTCGCCCTCTCCAGCCTGGACATACTCTACGAGATCAAGGGCGAGGAGCTCGTCAAGGGGGGGGGGGCCGCCGGCTCCTCCGGCTCTGCGCCCCCGGACCCCATGGCCAGGCTGTGCCGTCACCTCATAGAGCAGAGGCACTACTTCCCCCTCTTCCCGCCCATGGACAGGTCCAGGCTGCCCAAGGTCGGTGCCGCCGACGGCCGCGCCACCGGAGCCGTGCTGGACGTCAGTTATCTCAAGCTCGGTGAGATGGTCAATGTGCGTCCCGATGTCATGATAACGCCCAGTACGCTACCTCCATTTACCAAGGTAATTTCTTCAATTTCTTCTCTTTTTTTTTCTTTACTCGTCTCTCTCTCTCTCTCTCTCTCTCTCTCTCTCTCTCTATCTCTCTCTACCTCTCTCTCTCTCTCTACCTCTCTTCGTGCCCATGCTAAACCCTCGGGGAAAACAGGTCGTCGAGAGTGTCGTGGCCATCAACCCTGGTCCTCTGTCCAAACGGAGAGGCGCGGGAACGTACGCACGCATGTCACTCCACGCGCCGTCGACGGATAACCAGGAGGTTTTGGAGGGAATGGTGGGCCACAGAGTATTTGAGAGGGCACGAGTGGAAATTGTAAGGATATAAGTCACATGAATAATGAAGCACCAAGAAAGGAATGGGGGGAAATAAAACCTGGGAGGTATTGTACAAGTCGGTATCTTATTTGTGTTTTTATGAGGAAAGAAGAGGAAGTATTCTCCAAAACTTGGTTACTGTACATGTTTTATCCTTCTTCAGTCGGTATCGTGCCGGGGGGTTCAGTCCCCATCGACCCTCCGCCGCTTAGCATCGTCAGGCGACCTGGTCCGTTCGCCGTCCTCGCCGCGGAACCTCCTCTTCACGTCGCCGAGTGGAGCGGCATTGGCGCCCCTCGCGCTACCGGCATCGGGCCTGAACCTGTCGTCGTCAGGCCGGAACCTGTCATCGTCCGCCACAGCCGGGCGGCGGCCCCCTCCTCTGGGCTGGTTGTTGAACTGGCCCCAGCTACCGGTGTCCTCGGAGCGCATGTCCTTGTAGCGCGTGCCACCCTTCCTGCCGAGCTTGGTCATGTCCCTGCGCTGGAGGTATTCTGGCAGGGCGTCACGGTTGCGCACATCGTCGGCGATGCGCGTGCCCATGATGTCCCTCTGCAGCAGGCCAGCGGCCTCGGCCTCCTCCTGGAAGAAGGCGCCCTTGTGGAAGTAGCGCTGCATGTACGACATCTTGCCCTTGGAGTCCTTCTCGTCGCGCTGGCGCGCCAGGTGCGCCTCGTCCTCGGCCCGCCTCTCCTCGTCCGTGAGGTTGCGCCGCCTCTCCACCTCGGCAAGCTCGCGCTCGCGCTGCTCGATCTCGTCGCGCGCGCGCCGCACGCGCCGCAGCTCGCGCACGCGCCACGCCGCCTCCTCAGCCTCTGGGTCTACCCCGTCTGTCGTGTCGACGTCCGAGTCCGGGTCTGACTCGTCGTCCCAGTGCTTCTTGCCCGCCGCCCGTGCGGCCAGGTCCTTCTTGATCTGCTCCTCTACCAGGGCGTCCGTCTCGGCCTTCTTCCGCGCCGCCGCCGCCTCTTCTTCCGCCTGGCGCGCTTCGGCTTCCGGGTCCTTGTTGCGTTGGCTCTTGGGTATGAATTTCGGTCGCATCATCAGTCGTCTCGGCCGTTCTTCCTCTTCTTCTGACTCTTCTTCTGAGCTTGAGCTCTCGCCTTCTTCGGATCCTTCAGACTCTTCCTCCCCTGACTCTTCTTCTTCTTCGGTGACAAATCCTTCTTCTGCGGCTTGACGCTCTAGCTTTTGCGCTGCTAATCGGAGGTCCTCGGCTGCTCGGGCCTCCTTCCGTCGAGCGTCTAGGTCCATCTTGCTTAGGTCGGTGAACAGCTTGCCGGCGCTGGTGGCCTTGGGAGGGGGAGGCGCCACGGCCGCACCATCGTGGCTAGCTGCATCTTCCCCCTCTGAGTCGGAGCTGGAGGAAGAGGGGTCGCCTCCTGCTGGCTTGCCTGGACGGTGGCGCGCCGGCCTCACCGGGTTGGCTGTCATGCGCTTGGGTGGCATTGTGATGGGCTGTTGCTGCTGTTGTTGTTGTTGTTGTTGGTGTACGGAAAGAGGGAAGTTATTAATATGTCGTCCTGGTCGACAATTTTGGTCGGGTCTACAATCGATAAGCAGTGGGCGGCTGGTTACCCTGTAGCTATCTTGAGGTTGGATTTACACGGGGTAGAAAAGAGAGGTCTGTCGTCTGAAGAAGTTATGTGATTCGATTATTTTCCTACTCTATTCTTAGGCTTTCTGTCGGATGAGAATGAAAAGCAGAATACTATTTTTTCAGTGGTCATGTACTTAATATAGTAATATGTGGGTGGTCCTAAGCTGTACCTACAAAATTCTGGCGTCATAGGTCCTGTTCATGCAGCTCCTCCATGAGGTAATTCCCACTTACGCAACAGCTTCAGTTTCTGCGCGGGAAAAAAAGAAAAAAGAAAACAGCAATCCTCATATACATCTTCACTCATATAGACACACACGACGAATTCACCTACACACTTCGCAGACAAGACATCATGACTCAGCGTACTGTTCTCGTCACCGGTGCCACTGGCCTGCTCGGCCGGGAAGTGGCCAAGGCCTTCCGAGCGCGGGGTTGGTCCGTCAAGGGAACGGGCTTCTCTCGCGCCGACGGCGTCGACGTTCTCAAAGTTGATCTGGGGGACAAGGAGGCAGTTGCCAAGGTGCTGGACGAGGTCAAGTATGTTTTTCCTCATACCTGCTATTCATCGCCATTCGCATATCATTTACCAATGACGATTCTAGGCCCCAAGCTATCATCCACTGTATGTCAGAGACCTAAAAGACACACACACACACACACACACACAGAGAGAGAGAGAGAGAGAGTGTGTGTGTGTGATTTTCAAGGAAGGAAAGGAGATTGAAAGGCGCTAAGCAGTAAAAAAGGTGCCGCCGAACGTTTCCCAGACAAGGTAGAAAAGAACCCCGAGGGCGCCCGCGCCCTCAACATCGAGGCCAGCCGTTCGCTGGCCAACCTGGCGGCCGAGCGCAAGGCCCTCCTCGTCTACATCTCGACCGACTACGTCTTCCCGGGCGTGGAGGGGGAGGCACCCTACGAGGCCGACGCCACGCCGCGACCGACCAACCTGTACGGGCAGACCAAGCGGGACGGCGAGGTAGCAGTGCTGGACGAGTACGCGGCTGGGTCTGTGGTCCTGCGCGTACCGGTGCTGTACGGGCACGCCGAATCTGCGTCGGAGAGCGCGGTCAACACGCTCATGGACTCGCTGTGGAAGTCGCAGGCGCCGGGGGCCGAGGTCAAGATGGATCACTGGTCTCTTCGATACCCCACGTGTACTGAGGACGTGGGGAGGGTCTGTCACGGTATGTTTCTCTTCCTCTCTCTCTCCCTTCTTCTTTTGGGGGGTCTTTTCTTTCTTTCTTTGTGGTTGGACCGAGACACAAGACTCGGAGACAAACACACACACACAAGACAAGACAGGACGAGACAGAGAGACAGACTGACGTATATATGCGCGTGTGTGAAATACTCAGATGTGGCCGTCAAATATCTCGATACGGCTGGCCCGCAGCAGAAGGAGCTGCCAAGGATCCTACAGTTTTCTAGCGAGGACAGGATGACCAAGTACGAGATCTGCCAAAAGTTTGCGGCCGTCCTGGGCCTCAAGACGGAGGGCACAGGCCTGGTGGCCAACACTGAAGGAAACGACCCTAACGCCTCGGTGCAGAGACCCTACGACTGCCACCTGAGTACCAAGGCCCTCAAGGATCTGGGGATCGATGTATCGACCGTGGGATTCGACGACTGGTGGGGTCGGGAGGCCCACGTGTACCGGAGGTAGATGGGATGGGGGAAGGGGAGAGATTTCCAGACGGGAAGATCCAGGAGGGGAAGAAGACGAAATACCTGGGCATGGTGATGGTCTCGGACCGAAGGGGCAGATGGAGGGAAAGAACAGAAAACAGGATATGATATCTGAGCAAGATGTGAATACGTGAGAAAGGCACACACTCGGGAACGTGGAACCCCGGGTGAAGGAAGGAAAGGGGGAGAGATACTCCGTATAGGGAGAGAGGATATTAGCAGCGATTAGTAGTAGTAGCGATTAGTAGCAGTAGTGGTAGTAGTGGTAGTGGTGGTAGTGGTAATAATAGTAGCAGCAGCAGCAGCAGCAGCAGCAGCAAGTCAGCCGTGGATTGGAATTGACGTGTGTGGGGGGGAGGGGGGAGGGGGGGACTCTTCAAGGGAGACGTTTTCTTTATCTTTCGATTGAGACAAGGGAGGGAAAAGCTCTTGGATTTCAAACTGTTAGTTGGTGATGGGAGACATGGCCCCCACGCAAAAAAAAAAAAAAAGATGAGAAGAAAAAAAAGTCAAATGCCCACCAAGGTGTACAGAATTGAAACAAGGAGAGGATGGAGATCAGAAGCTGAAAAACAATGGTAAAATGCTCATGATATGGATGGTGATGCCTGGGTGATTGATTTCAGAGAGGTGAAGAGGCAGTGGCGAGGACATGGAGGGAGTCAGCCGACGACGTACGAGTAGAATGGTGGGAGAAACACTGACAGCCCACCCACCGCCATGCAATATAATACTCGAATACCACATTCCTGAGCAATGCACGAGACTGAACTGCCTGGGACCCCGTAAGAGGTTGAGACAGATCTACTTACTCATGAGGTAGCACTGAATGGATACGGGACTTGAACGGGCGAGGAGGCGAGGCAAGACATTGAGCAAAGGGCCATTATATGTGCATTGCTGGCTTACTATCTATTGTATCGGCCAATACGCTCGGGTAAGATAAAAAAAAGGCTGGAATGTATTTGCTGGTAGAGAGAGTCGACTGACGCGAAGCCGTACATACCAGCACGGCACCGCGTAGATGAGAGTGGTGGGCTCTGAAGGGACTGAAGGAACTGAAGGGGTTGAATGGATCTATCAGAAGAAGAGAAAAAAAAAGGATATATCTGGCAGACTCTCAGTCTATCTGGCTCTTCCTTCTCCTGTCTCTTCTACCTCTTCATGCCCACTTACTCCTCCTCATCTGTATGGAGAAGCATCACCACCTGGCACCCGGCACCAACTGACAGCTCCACCCCGAGTTCTCACGATAGCGTGCCGCACCCGCCATAACAGACACCCAGACACCCGCTATGAGCACCATAGCCTATCTCCCCTATAAGCCAGCATCCCCTATAAGCCACCCTCCCTCCCTCCAAAAAAAAATGGCAGCCCCACCTGCAGGCATCCTCACGCCTGAACAGTCTCCCCCGCAGGCGACAGGCATCAAGATGCAGTACTACGACTGCTACAACGGGGACTCCCCTGACGCCCAGCCCCCCAGCCAGCCGGGTCCGGGCGCTGAGAGACAGGCGTCTGCACCGCTGAGACGCCCATCCACCGCTGCCGAAGCCGTCCTGTCTCGCTATCGCAGCTTCCGTGACAAGAGCATCTCCCCCACGACTCAACGGATCAAGGACTTTGACATCTTCCGCGATCATCATCACCAGCAGCAGCAGCAGCAGCAATCGCCATCTCGACCTCAGACTCGGCAATCCCATCAATCTCAGCTCCAGACCGAACCTCGCCCCCAAACCCCCCAGGAGCAGACCCAGCCTCAGCGCTCCCGACCCCAGCAACTCTTCACTCCTACCCACTCTCCCACACGCATCAGGTCACTCAGCACGGACGCCCATGTCGCCGCGTCATCCTCCTCGTCCCACGATGCCGTCAGCAGCGGTACCAGCATTACCCGTCCCACCACGGCCGGTGCCGCCGCCGCCGTCGTCCCCCCCAACACCAACAGCAACGCCAGGAAGGACAGGACGGCGACCGCAGCGGCAGCGGCAGCACCGGTAGCAGCAGCACCAGCACCAGCACCGAAAGAAGCTGCATGTGGTGGTAGCGCAGCACAAGACAATACTGATCTCAATCCTCCTAATTGGCCACCGCACCAGCAAGCCGCCACCACCACCACCACCACCACCACCACCAGTACCGCTCGGAAATTCTCTGTCCTGACCCCAAAGTCGACCAACATCTTTTCCGATCTCAGGAAGAAGAGCAGAGGCGGTGAGGACAACAAGATCCGCAAGAAGAGACCTTCTGCTGGCCCTGCCGGTGACCTCGACAGGAACCTCCCTCTAACTCCGCCGTCCTCGTCGCATCGCCAGAGGCCTACCACCACTGCCACCGCTGCCAACAGGGAACACGCCAGCAGCGTCATCCCCTGGGCTGAGGAGGTCGCCAGGCTCAAGGCTGAGAAGGAGCAGGGCGACGGCGACGGCGACGACGACGACAACAACAACCGCAACAGCAAACGCCGCACCAGCTTTCAAGACGATCACCATCGGCAGCAGGCGACACCCACCGCCACCCCCTCCCCCAAGTCGCGATCCAGGAAACTCTTCGGGTTCCTCAAGAGGACAAACACAAACCGCGCCGCGCCCGACGCCGACAGTCGGCTGACCACGCCCCGAGACGCCCAGTCCAAGGCGATCGACTCGGATATCGAAAACAAGAGACCCTCGACCAGCGCCTCCGAGGTCTCTAGTCTGGGCCCGTCCATCATGGACTTTGACGTGCCGACCACGGCCAGCAACGGCGGCGAGAGGGTGAGTCCTCTCCCTTCTTCTTCTCTTCCCTCCCGGCACCGATCCTGCCCGGAATACCCCGACGACCTTTGCTGACCTGACTAAACAGCGCGTGACGGTGCGATGCCAATCCTCCACCATCAGCCTGCCCGTGTACAACGACACCACCCCGATGGACATTGTGCGCGAGACGGCTAACCGAGTCGTCCACGCGCTGGACCCGACCACGGCGACGGTATACGAGTGCTACGAGGTGCTCGGCCTGGAGCGCCGCATGCGTCAGTACGAGCACGTGCGCGACGCCATGAACTCGTGGGACCGTGACAGGCAGAACTCGCTGCTCATCATCGGCCACAGCGCGCGCCAGCCGGACGACGCCGACCTCGAGGCCGACTCGGTCCCCCGCACCGAGGAGCCTCCCCCCGTGGGCTTCACGGTCCACATGCACCACTCCAGCCGTCCGGGCAAGTGGAACAAGCGGTACATAACCCTCATGGACAACGGCCAGATGGTGGCCTCGAAGAAGATGGAGGGCAGCGGCGCCGACCGCGACACCACGACGCTCTGCCACCTATCCGACTTCGACATCTACCTGCCCCGCGAGAACCAGACGCGCCGCCACCTCAAGCCGCCCCGCGACTTCTGCTACGCCATCAAGTCGCAGCAGAAGACGGCCCTGTTCCCCAACGGCGACAACTTTGTCCACTTCTTCTCCACCGATGATGAGGATCTCGCCCGCCGCTTCTACGACGCCGTCCACGCCTGGCGCAGCTGGTACCTCGCCGTCCGCGTCCACGGCATCCTCGACGACTCCGACTCGGGCGACTCCGCCCTGTCCTTCAAGGTCTCGGACGACAAGCCTCCCTACCTCGACCTCAAGCAGATCTCCGAGGCGGCAGCCGCACGCGTCGAGCGCCAGAAGCTGGAGGAGGAACAGCAGAAGCAGAAGCAGCACAAGCTCCAGCAGCAGCAGCAGCAGCAGCAGCAGCAGCAGCCCGCGAACACGACGCTCCTGGGGAACCTCTACGGCGAAGGGGAATTCCTCGCCGGGGGCCTGCTGGGCGACTCATACGACAAGCGCAAGCAGGAAGCCGACGGCGTCGGCATCGCCAGGAAGCCCGTCGCCGCCAACGACGGTCCCTTCACCGACGGCCCCTCGCTGCTCAACAGCGCCTACCAGCAGCAGGCCGACGGCGGCAGGAAGCCCGAGCCGTCGACGCCTTGGTTCCCCTCCGCGCTCGAGCACTCCGCACGCGAGCAGTCCAGCCGCACGCGCAGCATGTCCCGGCCGGAGCAGCCGACCCGCCGTCCCACCACAGCCGGGGCCCCGCTCGTCCGTCGCGGCACGACCAACACGGCTAGACCGCCTCACTACGGCGGCGCCGGCGGTGTGCCTCCCGTGCCCGTGCCCGGCCAGCAGCAGCAGCAGCCTCTGCTCCCCCGCATGGCCCGACCTCCCCCCTCGGGCGGTCGCGGCATGAGGCCGCCCCCCGGCGGCGGTCCGCTGATCGACTACGCCACCGGCGGCACCGGCCCCATGCCCGGCCAGCCCATGCCTCGTCGGAGCAACACCCGCGGGCACTCGGCCGCGCCCGCACCATCGGTCTCGGCATTCCCCCTCCCGCCTCCCGGCAGGCCGCGCAGCCGGTCCACGGCCGGCGGTCCGCCGCAGCAGCCTACACTCCTGGCGCAGCAGCGCTCCGTCAGGCAGCCCAGGAGTACCGAGTGGACGGACGGGTCGTACGGGAGGCAGCCCAGGCGGCAGGCGTCTACTCGTCACGAGCCGCTGATTAACCAGATCAGGTAGACACACGCACTCTCTCCTTGTGTTCTCCCTCCGGCGCTTCCTGTTCTCTTCCCCCTCCTCCCCTTTTGGGAGCTTGATTTTCCTTGACGCCTGTTCTTGATCTGCGCATGAAGCCTCTCATGTTCACATGGTGACGAAGATTTGCGTAATGACTGTAGTGAAGGGGACGTTGTGCAATGAGGTGGGATTGTTTAATTCATTTTATTTTTTACCTGGGGGCGTTTTACATGTTGGGTTTTGATGAATTGGGGGGGGTTTTCCCCCCTCTGTCTTGTTCTTGTTTTGCATAAAAGCACAAATTATTTGGTTTGAAATGCCACCAGGAAGAAGGTTGTTCTAGCCTGAGGCTGTGTCTCAAGACGGGTAATACAACAAAGAACAAGATTTTTTATCACAACCGCTGCGACCCCTCATTCGAAGGGGAGGGGGGTGGGTGGGTGGTTGGTTAACGCACCTCGTTCATCATCTACGCGCGCTATTTGTGTACCAACAGGTGTAATATTATGCCATGCCCGAACAATAAAACACGATGCTTTTTTTCTTTCAAGAGAACAGAAACCCGGTGTCAAATGAAACAAAGCTCCAAAATCTTTTCAAGCGTAAAGAAAAGGAAGAAAAAGCGCAGTGTTTCTATTGTATAGTGTATGCAGAAGTTTGATTTCTTTCAAGAAAAAAAGTGAAAAAAAAAAAGAGTAGGAGCCCCAAGTCAGCCTTCTTTGGTTGGTATATGAATGATATGTGTGTGGTATGTCGAGGGGGATGTGACATGGATGGGCGTCAGCTTTGGGTAGAACAGTAGACAGGTGAAGAGCAAGGCAAAGCAAGGTAAAGCGAGGCAGAGCAGAGCCGAGCAGAGCAGAGCAGAGCAGAGCAGAGCAGAGCAGAGCAGAGCAGAGCAGAGCAGAGCAGAGCAGAGCAGAGCAGAGCAGAGCATTCACTTGCTGCGCTTGTAGATCTTTCCGAGGAAAGTGTCAAAGACGGACTTCTTGAGACCCTTTGACTCGTCAATGGCGTCAATCATGGCGCGGAGCTCGGCGGCGCGCTTCTCTTCAAAGTCCTCAAAGACCTTCTTGAGCTGCAGGTCGTCGTAGAGCTTCTTGATGGTGGCTTCCTTGGCGTCGTCCTTCTGGCCGTAGTTTGCCTCGAGGATGGCGCGCTGTTCGGGGGTGGCGCGGGCGATAGCCTGGTTGACGAGCCAGGAGCACTTGTTGTCCTTGATGTCGGTGCCGATCTTGCCGATGTGCTCGGGGAGGCCAAAGTTGTCGAGGTAGTCGTCTTGAATCTGGAAGTACTCGCCCAGCGGGATGAGGATCTTCTCGGCCTGGCCCAGGTTCTCCGGGGTGGCGATGCCGAGGAAGTGCAGGGCCAGGGCGACGGGCAGGTAGAAGGAGTAGTAGGCCGTCTTGTAGATGACGATGAAGGAGTACTTCTCCAAGGAGAAGTTGTCGAGATCGACCTTGTCCTCCGGGGCGGTCAGGAGGTCGCACAGCTGGCCGAGCTCCGTCTGCCACGACGTCTCGTGGAAGAGCTCGACCAGGTCGATGTAGGCCGGGTGGTCGCGGAAGTAGCGCTTCAGAAGCACGTAGATGCCCGACTCCAGGATGAAGGCGTCGTTGATGGCCACCATGCCCACGCCCTCGTGCCGGTACCAGCACGGCTTGCCCCGGCGCGTGATGCTCCCGTCCATGATGTCGTCCGACACCAGGAAGAAGGCCTGCAGGAGCTCCGTCATCCAGCCCAGCGTCGCCGTCTTGAAGTACTCGTCCTCGGTCAACGGTCGCCCTAGCAGCAGCGACACAGAGTCCGGCACGGACATGCCGCGGTTGCATTTGCCACCCAGGGGGTTGATCTCGAGGTTCTACAGGTTTCTCGTCAGTCCTCTCTCTCTCCCTCTCCCTCTCTCTCTCCCTCTCCCTCTCTCTCTCCCTCCCTCTCTCTCTCCCTCCCTCTCTCTCTCTCCCTCCCTCTCTCTCTCCCTCCCTCTCTCTCTCTGCGCATCATCACCCTGCCACATGTCCCTTTTGTTCTCCAGAGGGAAAACGAGGGGAAACACCACCAGGGGAGAGAGAAAGACACTGGCTCACCTTCTTCAGCCACTCGAGCTCCGAGGCCGGCAGCTTGTACAGTCTAGCATGGTCGAGCAGAGCCTCCTCGAGCTTCGGGAACACCGACTCGAACTCCTTGAGTGTAGTCTGTTGCGCCATTTTTGGTGTGTATATGATCCGAAACCGGTTGGAAATGAAGTTGAAAGATAAAGGCCAGTCAAGGGGGCGGGGGCGGGGGAATGAAGAGGAGTTAAGTAATATCGGTCCATGAGTTGCACTCTACAATAGTGTAGGTGAGGGGCATCTTCCAGGTCCCATTGCCCCCTCACTAGTAGTAAAAAAATTGGTACTCGTACCACATGTGCTAGAGCCAACAGATGGGGAAGAGACCCAGAGCAGACCTAGAAAACAACAATATATGGAACCGCAAGCCAGTTAGGCGCGTTAGGCGCGGTGTCCACTATTTACTGCACCTGTCATCACGTATATTGGACTGGGACCGCTGGACCCTGACTTACCCACTATCGATGTAACTTACCTGTGCCATAGAAAGAAAGTCCTCAGGCCCCATCTGCAGCCCCGAATAAGGATTATTATTGATACGTCGTAATACACGCTGTCAGGACCTGTATCATCACTAAGCGGCACATTAGGGAGAATACAAAAAAAAAAAAGGCCATACGCAACTCGTGTCAGACTAATCTGTATCGTGGCTCGCACAATAACGATGAGTGGCACGGCTCCGCTGCCGCTGCCGCTGCAGCATATTATGCCAGACATATATGTTTCGTTCTACCTCTTCCAGAGCCAGAGCCAGAGTTATCTTCGCGGGACGGAGCGCTCGGTTGACAGGGTCTTCACCGACAGTTGCTCAAGCAGCCAATACGATAAGCCTGGTGGCACTCGGAATATCAGCCATGGGAACGGCAACCGTTTGGATGGCGATGTTTTCGATGGTGGTGAACATAGAGATCTCTCGCCAGTTTTTTCTTTTCTTCTCCGTAATATTCGGACTGATGCAAGATTTTTGCTGACGACGGAGAAGAGGACGTCATCACTACAATAATAGTAGTACAGATTAGTATTCGGAAGTCTCTACTGCAGCATTCTATGAAACGCGGTTTCACGTGACCCAGATGTGGGAGCGGCTCCGAGTGAGAAGCCATAAGCCATAAGAGCGAAAGCAAGTATTACGTAGTGCTACCCGTAGTCTTGCTCTCTATCACACTTTCCGGAATTAAAAGATCTGAGAGTAGCCCCCATATCCATCTTCCAGTGTACTACTAGTGGTTCTCAACTATGCAACGGGGACGAGGAGAGATCAATCTGGCTCTCTGCTGTATTAATATCCGTCCCGCATTTTGAAGGTGGCGGGTCCCCCCCCTCCCTCCAGCTGCCCCTCCTAAGCTACATCACCACCGTATACATCCCCGGTACGACTCGTTGGACCTGCTCCACACGCGTTTAGCCAACAGCAGCAGCAGCAGCAGCAGCAGCAGCAACGCGCCTGGGGCTCATCGCAACACCATAATGACTCTGAGCCCCCAAGAGATTGCGCAGCTGCGCGTGGCCCTCCAGGATGCCGTTGTCAGATGCTCAGAGCGCTGTCTCTATCAGTCTTCAAGATGGTGTGTTGTCTGCCACTCGCAGTCGCGTCTCTCTCCTACCAAGCTGACATATCACGGTCCGATCAGGGCGGCAGAACTGTTGAATGCGTTGCCGGAAACCGAAGACGCCGACGATGCCTCCAAGCAGGCCTTCACCTCGCCGATCAACACCCCCAACCTAGACCCGGAGGAGGCTGCTCTGGAGGCCAAGGAGCTGAGCAAGTACCTGCTAGCCAAGTCCTTCTTCGACTGTCACGAGTACGACCGATGCGCCGCCGTCTTCCTTCCCGACTCCTTGCTGTCGAGCGTCCTGAGCTCGAGATTCGAAGCAGCTCCCGCGACTCCGAGATCCAGGGAAAAGGCGAGGGCGTCGATGTCATCGCGCCCATCGACCGCTGCCGAGCTGCCCCGCCTTAGCCAAAAGGCCTTGTTCCTCGCCCTGTACGCCAAGTTCATGGCCGGCGAGAAGCGCAAGAATGAGGAGTCGGAGATGGTCATGGGCCCCCAGGATCTGGGCACCGTCGTCAACAAGGAGCTTCTCGTCGTCGGCCGCTTCCTGTCGGCCTGGTTCGAGGAGAGAGCCGGCGAGGACGGCGATGTCGAGGCAAGCCAAGGTTGGCTCGAATACTTGTCAGTGGAACGCGGAGATGCCATCTGTCTCCTCCCATCTCTAACAATGCTCGCAGATATGGCGTGGTGCTGGCGAAAGAGAAGAACGACGAGAAAGCCATGGAGCTGTTGATCCGCAGTGTCCACAAATACACCATGAACTGGGGTTGCTGGTTGGAAATGACGTCTCTAATATCCAGGGCCGAAGATGTACGTTTCAACTCCTCACCACTCCCTTCCCGTGTGCATCGGACATGTGATCTCACAGAGACAAAACACCAGCTGGCTCGTGTATCGCGACATTGCCCGGAACACATTATCTCGTACATGTTCCACCTCCACGCCTCACTGGAACTGTACCAGCAGTCACCGAGTCTGGCCAACTCGCTAGAGCGGCTCCTCTCGATCTTTCCGACCTCGTCATTCCTCCTGACCTGCAATGCGCTCCTGGCGTATCACTCCAAGGATCTCATGGCGGCGGAGCAGCATTTCAGCAGGCTTCTAGCCCTGCATCCTCACAGGCTCGACTCGCTCGACCACTACTCCAATATACTCTACGTCCTGGGCCTCCGGCCGAAGCTGGCCTTCCTGGCACATCTCTGCTCGAGCGTGGATAAATTCCGACCAGAGGCCTGCGTCGTCATCGGGAACTACTACTCTCTGCTGTCCATGCACGAGAAGGCGGTGCAGTACTTCCGCCGCGCGCTGACGCTCGACCGGTCGTGCCTCTCGGCCTGGACACTCATGGGACACGAGTACGTGGAGCTCAAGAACACGCACGCAGCAATCGAATCGTACCGACGGGCCGTGGACGTCAACCGCCGAGACTACCGTGCCTGGTATGGCCTGGGCCAGACGTACGAGATGCTGGAGATGCACACATACTCGCTGTGGTACTACAAGAAGGCAGCCGGACTGCGACCGTGGGACGGTAAGATGTGGATGGCTGTCGGGTCATGCCTGCAGAAGATGGGTCGCGAGCGCGACGGCATCAAGGCGCTCAAGCGGGCCCTACTGGCCGACGCGTATTACGAGACGGGGAGCAGCTTCGGCAGCGGCGGGGAGCTCCTGGGCCCCCGCAGCGTGACGGGACACATGGACCCAGACATACTGCTGCAGATTGCAGTCATGTACGACCAGCTCGGCGAGGAAGAGGAGGCAAAGGCGTACATGGAGCTGTGCATGTCGCAGGAGGACGGTGGTGGTGCGGGAGACGGCAACGATGACGGCGGCAGCAACAACCTGGCCGAGTCTGTCAGGATCCACAACGACTCGCCCGCGGGGTCGGACGACGGTGCAGCACCGGGAGCGTCGACGGCACCGCATGCTGGCGAGGATCGGAGCACGGGCCGCGAGGGCACAGGCGTGACGGCGGCCACCAGCAAGGCCCGGATGTGGCTAGCGCGGTTCGCGATGCGCACGGCCGACTACCATACGGCCAACCGGCTGGCCACGGAGATGTGCCAGGACGGCGTCGAGGTTGAGGAGGCCAAGGCCCTGGTGAGAGAGGTCAGGTCGAGGCTGGACGCATCCAACGCGCTGGAAGGTGATGACTTGGCGCGCTAGAGTCGCTTCTCGACCCCTCCGCGACGCCTCAGGCCGCGCATGCTGGAGCTGCCTGGTGGACTGAGGTAGAGAGGTACGATTTGAGTATAATAGCAACCATGAGATGACGAATTATCATTGTTTTCTCTACAGTCCCCCCCCCCCCCCCCCCCCCCCCCCGGATAATGAATTTGATACCATGATGTATCTAGGACTTGGGTACTCCCCCAACTCTTGCCCGCCACTACTGTCCACCTTGTCATGAATACCGCATAGCATTAGATGCCACTGTTGCAGAGCTCTCAGAAGACAGAAGTGGATGCTAGCATGATGTTTCATCATTTTCCCTACTTTTCTTCTAGGAGGAATCGAGTGGATGAAAACCTCGAAATTTGGGAGTCTTGACCGGCATGATCAGACAGTATGAACTGATGGACGTCATCATGTCCATCACACACACACACACCATCGCTCTCTTTTCTTTTTTTTCTTCTTTTTTTTGCAAAATCATCATTTCTCAACGGTATCAATAGAGGAAAACAAGCGTCGGAAAAGAAGACCAAAAGTCTCTCGAAACATTCTGCGCGAATGGCTTTAGAATTCAAATACTTTTCGAAAAGAATTCAAAGTATTCTGTTCTCCTCCCCCCCCTCCCCCCCTCTTTTTTTTACAACCCCACATTATAGAAGAGACAAGAAAAGGCATGAGCAAATCGGCAAGGACAGAAGGAGCTATTAAGAAAGGTCTCTTTTACGTTCTGTTGAGGAAGGAGCCGAGGGGGAAAAAAGGAAGGATAAGAAGAAAAAATAAGGGCGGGAGAGAAGTAGTAATCAAAACGAAGAAACGCTCTCAGACCATGAGGGCAACAGTCCCCGCAAGGATGAGAGCCCCGAAGCCAGCGCCGGCCCGGTCAGCACCGGCGGTGGGCACGGAAGACGGAGCCTCACCGGTGCCGCTGCGGGCCTCGCCAGAATTAACTGAGGGAGCCTCACCGGTACCACTGGGCGCCTCACCGGAAGAAGCGGCAGAGGGAACCTCACCACCGGTCTCGCCACCGGTCTCGCCACCGATAGGAGCGGCGGACGAGGGGACGGCGGTGAGGCCCGTGGCCGTGGCCGTGGCCGTGGCGGGAGCGACGGGGGCGACGGGAGCGACGGGATTGTTGGTCACGCCTGGAGAGACAGGGGCTACGGCGCTGGATGCCGCAGGAGCGATAGGGGCAGCAGGAACACTGCTGGAACCAGGGACGATGGGGACGGCGGTGCTCTCGCCGGGGACGGGGACAGCGCTGTAAGATCCGGGGACGACGGGGACGCTGCTGGCACCGGGGACGGGGGAGACGAGAGCGCTGCTTCTAGAAACGGGGATGGGAACGACGGGGGAAACAACGGGGGAAACAACGGGGGAAACAACGGGGGAAACAACGGGGGAAACGACGGGGGGGACGACCGGGGGGACGACGGGGGAAACGACGGGGGAAACGACTGGAGTAGCAGCGGTGGAAGTGGGAGGGAGACCGGTGCTGCGACTCCTGGTGGGGACGAAGGGAACGGGAGAGGGCGGGACGGGGACTCTGCTCTGACCAGTCGTAGGGAAGGGGGTGACGGAGGTAGCAGGCACGGAGATGTCGGAAGTCTCACAGCTCGTCGTCGTCGTGTTGACGGGAGGGGGTGGAGGGGGAGGAGTGACCTCGGTGGTTCCCGGGAGGGGAGAAGACGTAGGCTGGGTGAAGGTGCATGGGCAGTCTGGGACATCATGTCAGCTTGCGGCCAACTGATTCAGAGAGAGGGGATCGAGGCAAGAGACAAAGCGTACTGGTGATGGTCAGAGTCTGACTAGAGGTGGCCGTGTACGTGATGTTGTTGTGAGCTATGGTGGTGGGAGTCTACATGGCACAAGGGTGTCAGCACGTGTCGAGATGTCAAGCATATATATATGATTTGGAAACTCAAATCCCTTGATGCATCAGGCCGTCCACGTCATCGTGGGATCATGTCTCTGGCAGAACCTTACCGGGCAGAATGTGGTGTAGTCGGTGGTGACGATAGTTGTGTAGATGGTGGTGGCAGGTGTGACCACCGAGCTGACCACGGGGCTTGTGTGAGGCCAAGCAGAGGCAGTACCGATGAGGGCCGAGGCCGAAGCAAGGGTCTCGGAGAAGCGCATCTTGAAAGGAGAGGGGGAGATATCGCGAATGGTTGTCGGTTGAATGGATCAGTAAAGGTAGATGAGGGGGGTGAGGAGTGTCGGATCTTGAATGGACGAGAGGACTCGATTGACTATAACACCACGCATCAATGAGAGGTGTCTAATGGGAAACAGAAAGATAGATAGATAGAGAGAGAGAGAGAGAGAGAGAGAGAGCGATGGAATGATGAATCCTTTTCTCAAAAGGAAGCCCATGGGCCTATTTGTATCTTGCATAGAGTTCTCATACTTTCTTGCACGACACGGTGGCAGAATCGGTAGCTTGACCCAATGTCTCATCATTCACCCAGCCGAGATGTAGATTTTGACCTGTTTCTAGTCTTTCTATTCTTGTTCCGATGGGATCAGAGCAGAAAGGGGGGTGTCTTTTTGTCTTTTTCTATTTATTTATTACAATATGGTTGAGGAGGCGTTATACGAGGATTAGACTCGGAACTGGTTTTACCGGGAACGGTCAAGACTGTAGTGACTTGGGTGCAGTTATAAGGACGGACCGTCCAGCATCGAACATTGAAGACGTGCAACGAACCAGCCCCAGGTCTTCGTAAGAAAGATGGATGGCTGATCATGGAGCTTTTGGAAACTAGTGACAGACACCAGCAAAAGGCAGTTCTAGTGTGATTGGTAGTTTGCTTCTTTCTTATTGGTGTCTTCGAACGAAGGGGAAAGAGAAGAAGAAAGAAGAAAAGAGAGCCGGTAGATGGCTGGTGCTTGATAGCCCGAGAACAATTGAGCCAACACGAGAAGAAGATGGGTTGTGCCCCGGAACGCTGTTGAGCAATGAGCAGGTCAACAGTGATATACGGACAGGTCTCTCGAAAGGGGAAAGACAAGATCCACGGAAAGGAAGGCTGTGCATGTACAAGTGCTCTCGTATGCAATGGAAGAAGGGTTCCCAGACATGACGAACATGTCCGGGGATAAAACTGTCGTTGCAGATGACGGGGGAGGAGGGGAATAATGAGGCAGCTGTCTCGCTGTCAGATGAGACGGGAAGCAACGGCCACGTAGGAACGGGCGTCGCACGAGTAAGCCTTCCGATTGGTGACTGCAGAAGGATGCCGGAGGAGATGAACCATGTTTTTTTAATTTTTTAATTTTTTACATGCCCGTCTGCTTGCGGAACGATTACCATGTTTATTGCCATGTTTTGTTTGTTGCACGATGTATCATCAGTTTCTGTCCTCTGCCCAGTTCTTTGAGAGTTGGAGAGTTGGGACGCATGTATGTGCGGATGGGACAAGGATTGGCTGAGTTGAGGAAGTCAAGAGACAAGAGAATAAAGAGGATACGCACATGTTTCCGCTCTGCTCCTCTCCCCGTCACCGTTTACAGTATACTGCTCGGTCTTTCTTTGCCCTGTAGTCGTATTCCATGCCGGTTGTTGTGGAGAGACGTGGTTCTCGGACCAGGAGTAAGTAGTAAGTAGTAGTAAGTAGTAGCAGTAGCAGTAGCAGTAATAGTAGTGGTAGCTGATTTGAAGCTCGAGCCGAATAATCGTCAAATCTGGATATCTATCATGTATCAGTAAAAGTTAATAAAGACTGGAATGTGAACACTCGACCTGTCCTGAAAGGGACCGAATTCAGCCATGTCTCTCTCTTTTCTTCACCTTGGCAAGAGACGAGAATAGGATGGAACACGGAGATGTATGGATGCGGCTTTCATATCGAAGCGGGGCGATATGGGTATATGCGGCCATCTATTCAGTAAAGCTTTGAGAGGTTTCCCGAGGATGAGTATCACCAGTACGGGCTTCCACCTTTGGGTCTCCATCATATACGCCGGGATCCGGGCAGGTGCGACATCGTGTATCACATCCATCGATATACAACCGACGGGTTGGGACCACAAGTCGGTCTGCTTACTGTCTCAGAAGCGGCATGATTCAATCGCCCGCAGTGACAGAACCGCTACCGTTTCCGTGCACACGTACGTATTTCTGCCCGACATTTTCTTCGTTCCGAGGAGCTGTTGAAGCCTTCATCCGGTCCCCGCTGGACGAGTACGTCTGTTATAATGCGACGTTGCTGCACGTTGTACACGCAGATCATCATCTTTTTTTTCTTAAAAAAATAAATAAAACCTTGCCGTAACATGCAATAAACAGAGAGAGGGAAAGAGAGAGGGAGGGAGAAAGAGAGAGAGAGAGAAGAAGAAGAAGGAGGATGAATGATTTGTCGCTGCCCCAAACCTCCGTCGATGATGATGCCCATCAGAGTCGAATGGAGGAGAATCATGGATGAAAAGCAACGACGATAAAAGACAACAACAGCAGGCGGTCCCGCTGCCTGACAACCACAACCCACAATGACAAGAGTTACGTCATATATATTATACTTGCTATCACTGGAGAAAGGGAGGAACCCTTTGAGTCCGTGGCGCCTTCCTTTTTGTTTCACCTCAGAGCCGCTTCTGTCACTATTACGATACACGTGACGCTGTTTTTTTT